CATGGAAGTTAATGAAAGATCCTACTCTGCTTCTGGAGCAATGTTAGCCTACAACTCTGAGGATTCTTCATTTATCCTAGCCTTAGCTGCGGCTATGTGTACCTTCAAGTTGCCTCTTTGGCCCTTTCCACACAGCTGTATACAATCTCACATTATCTGCTTTGGACTAGGTTATATGGCAGGTTTTGTGTGTGTGTGTGTGTCAGGAGCGACTTGAGAAACTGCAAGTTGCTTCTGGTGTGAGAGAATTGGCCATCTGCAAGGACATTGTTCAGAGGATGCCTGGATGTTTTGATGTTTTACCCATCCTTGGAGGAGGCTTCTCTCATGTCCTTGCATGGAGAGCTGGAGCTGACAGAAGGAGCTCATCCACACTCTCCCTGGATTTGAACCTCCAACCTGTTAGTCTTCAGTCCTGCCGGCACAAGGGTTTGACCCACTGCAACGCCGGGAAGTGGGGACTCAGATAACCTAGTTCAAAACAGATATTATGGATTATCTGCCATGATATTCTGGGTTATATGGCTGTGTGGAAGGGCCCTTAATCTATGGTGACCCCATGAATTTCGTACGGATTTCTCAAGCGAGGAACACTCTGAAGTGATTTGCCAGTGGCTTCCTCCATATCTTCCAATGTTTTACAGATGAAAACTTGGGACATTGTGTAGCCATACAACCAACATCAGTTTGTGGTCAAAATAGCAAAGTTATTAATGATGAAGGTAAGAGAGGCTGCAGCAGTTTGCTTTTGCAGGAGTCTACTGGGAAGGGCAAGATTTGGACTCCTCTTCTGTCTGAGTGGGTTGAATTCAAAATCCTTTTAATTCAGTTTGCAGCAAGTAAACTAAAGGCCCTTCCACACAGCTCTATATCCCAGAATATCAAGGTGGAAAATCCCACATGATCTGCTTTGAACTTGGTTATCTGAGTCCACACTCAGATAATGTGGGTTTTCTGCCTTGATAATCTGATGTATAGGACTGTGTGGAACAGCCCTGGGTTATCTGAGTCCACACTGCCATATATTCCAGTTCAAAGCAGATAATGTGGGATTTTGTTCAGTTGTGTGGAAGGGGCCTGAGAGTGAAGGGGAAGGAAGAGAAAAACTGGGGCATTTTAAAAGACATTTGAAAAAGTGGGACGACAGAGGATCAATTGGGACTATCCGTGCAAAATCAGAATAGTTGTAAGGTATGGTTAGTATGCCTAGCAACCTAGGAAGCATCTACACCGAAGAATTAATGCAGTTTGACACCAATTTAACTGTCATGGCTCAGAAGTTGTAGTTCTAAAACATTACGAGAGCCAAGTGACTCCCATCCTGTTTTTGGTTCCTAGATCAGGGATGCATAAAACAAGCCTCTGCAGAACTTTGTTGGACTGCATTTCCCAGAACCTTTGCCTAGTGGTCAAATTGTCTGGGGCTTCTGGGAGCTGAAATCAAACAGGATTTGTGGATCCAAGTTGACAGCCAGTAGTCCAAATGTAGGTTAAACCCTTGTACCGGCAGGACTTCTGACTGAAAGGTCAGCAGTTTGAATCTGGGGAGTGGAGTGAGCTCCTATCTGTTAGCTCCAGCTTCTCAGATGGGAAAACATCCAAGCGTCCCCTGGGCAACGTCCTTGCAGATAGCCAATTCTCTCACACCAGAAACAACTTGCAGTTTCTCAAGTAGCTCCTGACATGAAAAAAAAATCAAAATGTAACATCTGGATCAGGAATCATTTACGCTATACAACTATGGCTACACCCTATGAGATCCTACAGTTAGCACTTGGTGAGGCACTGAGGATGGATCTACATGGCTCAATTATTATTATTATATTATAATAACTTTATTTGTACCCCGCTAGCATCTCCCGAAGGACTCGATGCGGCTTACATAGGCCAAGGCCTCAAAACACAATACAACAATACAATACCTAAAGCAAATTAAAAACAGTTAAGCAGTATAAACAACAACAATAAACAATACATCAAGACACTATAAAACTGGGCCGGGCCAGAGTAATGGGTACAAGATTAAAAGTGCTGATGTGGCAGGAGGTATGTAGGATTATAAAGTAAGTGCAGTGTGCGGTGTGCAGCAATCTTAGTTCTACTAAAGTGCTTCTAGGACTTGGTATTGGAGATTCCTAATCTGAGAAGGCACATCGGAACAGCCAGGTCTTCAAGTTCTTTCTGAAGACTGCCAATGTAGGGGCCTGTCTAAGATCTTTTGGGAGGGCGTTCTAGAGTCGGGGGGCCACCACAGAAAAGGCCCTGTCTCGAGTCCCCACCAAGCGCGCTTGAGACGCAGGCGGGATCATGAGCAGGGCCTCTCCAGATGACTGAAGTGAACGCGTGGGTTCGTAGACGGAGATGCGGTCATGCAGGTAGGCAATATCCCAGGATCTAATGTCAGATTATCTTCTTATCCCAGATTATCTGGCAGTGTAGATTTATATAATCCAAAGTAGATATTATAATCTAGGATCAGATCCTGAGATATGGAGTAGTGTCAATCCAGCCAGAGTCTCCCTAGCAGAGAATGCTAAATACTCCTCCCTAAACAGCACTCTGTGAGGACAAAAGTCCCATGTGAATGGCACAATGCCCTTTGCCCGATATCAGGAGTAATGAGCATTATATTGGACGGTACCGTCCTGGCACACAACACTTTCTACTTGCTGGAAAGAAAGGTGTGTTCCTGAACAAGAGGCACTGCTTGCTGATCACATCAGGGTGAGGAAAATCCCTTTTATTGTCTAGATCGAAAAAGTTGGACCACAATTTCTGATGACCAAACTCTCTGCCTGAGAGATCAGCAAGAAACCCCAGCTTTTGCTGGTTCCATAATGGAAACCTGATTTTTGCCATTTCCCATCTTCAGAGGCAGCAAAGTCTGTCCAAACTACAGGGCATTCTGTTTACTGGGTGGGACTCCAGCTCTGGCTCCTTCTACACTGCCCTTTCTCCCAGGATCTGATCCCAGATTATCTGCTTTAAACTGGATTATATTTATTTTTATTTACCGCATTTGTAGCCTGTCTTTCTTACCCTGAAGGGGACTTAAAGCGGCCTTACAATAGGCAACAATTTTATAACTTATCAACAACAAATAATAAAATAAACATACACATTAAAATATAACATTAAAACCATATAAACATTAAAACCAATTATTAAAACCAAACAATCTGTAATTGTAATCAAGGCCATTCCAGTCAAGACTGCACATATTCCCTCTTCTCTTATTGCTCTGTATTTCTACCCAAAGACAGTCCCAGAACCATGTCTTCAATTTCTTTCTCAAGGTCAGGAGGAAGGGGACTGGCCTGATTTCACTGGGGAGGGAGTTCCATACCCAAGGGGCTACCACTGAGAAGGCCCTGTCCCTCGAAGTTTGGCCCAATTCTATCATTGGTGGAGTTCGAAATGCTCTTTGATTGTAGGTGAACTATAAATCCCAGCAACTACAACTCCCAAATGTCAAGTCTATTTTCCTCAAACTCTACCAGTGTTCACATTTGAACACATTGAGTATTCATGCCAAGTTTCATCCAGATCCATCATTGTTTGAGTCCACAGTGCTCTATGAATATAGGTGAACTACAACTCCAAAACTCAAGGTCAATGTCCACCAAACCCTTCCAGTATTTTCTGTTGATCATGTGCAAGTTTGGTTTAATTCCATCGTTAGTGGTATTCAGAATGCTCTTTGATTGTAGGGGAACTATAAATCCCAGCAACTACAACTCCCAAATGACAAAATCACCCCCCACCTCATAGTATTCGTGCCATATTTGGTCTAGTGAATGAAAATACATCCTGCATATCAGATATTTACATTACGATTCACAACAGTAGCAAAATTACAGTTATGATGTAGCAACAAAAATAATGTTATGGTTGGGGGTCACCACAACAAGAGGAACTGTATTAAGGAGCCGCGGTATTAAGAAGGTTGAGAACTATTAATCTACATTGTAGAATTAATACATCACCTTAACAGCCACACCTTGGAATTGTGGGAACTGTAGTTTGCAACATCTTTAGCCTTCTCTGCCAAATTACAATTTTAATGATTTGAAGGGATTTAGCCATAGCAGTTAAAGTGGTGTCAAACTGCATTCATTCTACAATCCAGATGCATCCTGCATTGGGTAATAATAATAGTAATAATAATAATAATAACAATACTTATTATTTTACTGACACAAAACCATGTCACAGCAAATGAGATGCTGGATTTTGTATCACAAAATCACAAGTCGAACACTTCCCAAGCATCTGGGACTGTGTGATTTATTATTATTATTATTATTTGAAACACAACAAGACGAGTCCACAGCAAACAAGGTCACTCTACTAGCTGTTGTATTGGGTCACACGTCGGACACTTCCCAAGTGTCTAGGACTGTGTGATGTATCGGCGAATAATGTGTGCAGATCCCAGCAAGGTGGCCTTTTGCAGCTAGCAGATGGTAATTTTGTCAGCGCCAATTGTGTTTAAGTGCAGGCCAAGGTCTTTAGGCACTGTACCCAGTGTGCCGATCACTGGGACCACTTTGTCTGGCTTGTGCCAGAGTCTTTGCAGTTCGATCTTTACTTATTATTATTATTATTATTATACTTATTATTATTATTATTATTATTATTATTATTACTTATTACTTATTACATTGGGTAAAGGCTTCTTGGAGTGATAGCTGGAAGGTCATAAAGCCCTATGTAGGTCCACAATCATGCTAGGTCTTCCAAGTGTGAAGAGCTTCATCTTCCAGCTTTCCTGACTATGATCTCTAGAGTTGATGGGAGTTGCAATCTGACTACTGGTGAAGGACTAGCCGTTCTGCAACCTGTGTTGTAGACATTGCTGGGGAATGAGTATTTTGCTTTAATTACTGTCAGGAGCTCCAAATTGGTTTGACTGGCGGCTGGGGAGGAGAGGCGTGGCTGGGAAAGTTGATAAGTATACCTTAGCTTTTTCTCTTGCCTTACATTCCAACAACCCAGGGCAAGGCAGGAACTTTTGGGAGAAAAACAAAAGGACACCTCCTAAGGAGAGTGTGGAAAATACTTTCTCCATGGACCTAGCCAAGGAATCCCTCCAGGCTGGGTTGGGCACATAACACAATTGCCTGTGCTTTCTTTCCAAAAGGAGAAGGTCGAAAAAGCAAGCAAGCAAGAAAAGAAAGACGAAATCCACCACTCCAGGCTCAATGCAGCCCTTCCTGTCATCATGGGAGACTAGAATTCAAAGACCCAGCATCCTTCCTACCCTTCTTTTGGCATCGGCCCATTGGGCCAGGGATGCATGGCTCCCAAGTCTTTTCTTGATGATCTCCTTGAATTTTTCACACTTTTTAGGTCTCCTGGGACCATGTGGCTTTGGGTTCTGCTTCCTGTGCTACTGGCCGCGGGCGGGATCATCGGCTTCTGGGTCGTGTGAGTCATGATGGGACCTGGATGCTTTGGGGAGGAATGGTTATGGCTTGAAGCTGGCTGAGTCGGGGAGATGCCTGCTCAGATCAGGTTTGTGGATGCTGGTGGAGAAGAGTGCAGGGACAGAGCCCATGTTTTGCACTCATCAAGGCCTGATGCTTCCCAGGTGAAGGAATAAGTGTCTCTTTCCTGATGCATGAGAGAAGTGCTCCCAGTCATCCACCACAGGGATAATTCTTTAAAGACTCCATCTGATGTAAAACAGCAATTTTATTTTTCACTATGTGTTTAATTGGTTATTGGTATGTGCCTTCAAGCCATTTCTGAACCTGTCACAAGGTCTTCTTGGCAGGATTTTGTTTGTTCTTGCTGTCCTCTAAGGCAAAGAGACTAACCAGTGGGTTCCTATGGCCAAGTCAGGTATGAGTAAACTTTGTCCCTACAGGTGTTTTGGACTCCAACTCCCACAATTCCTAACAGCCTCATGCTTAAGCAGCTGAGGGGGAAAAGGAAAGGGCCTGAGGCTAGAGGCTTAAGCAGCTGAGGGGGAAAAGGGGAAGGGCCTGAGGTTGTTAGGAATTGTGGGAGTTGGAGTCCAAAACACCTGTAGGGACAAAGTTTGCCCATGCCTGGACCAAGCTGATTTGAACCCTGGCTGTCTTTAAATTTCATATTTCGACTCAAAATGGGAAATGGAGATTTGCAGTTTAGAAGGGGTATTTGGCAATTTTAGCCAGAGAGCTTTAGGGCAGTGTTTCTCAACCCGGGGGTTGGGACCCCTAGAGGGGTCATGAGGGGGTGTCAGGGGTCACCAATGACCTTCAGAAAATACAGTATTTCCTGTTGGTCATAGGGGTTCTCTGTGGGAAGCTTGGCCTAATTCTATAATTGGTGGGGTTCAGAATCCTCGTTGAGTGTAGGTGAACTATAAATCCCAGTAACTACAACTCCCAAATGTCAAGGTCTATTTTTCCCAAACTCCATCACGTTTCACATTTGGGCATATTGAGCATTCATGCCAAGTTTGGTCCAGATCCATCATTGTTTGAGTCCACAGTGCTCTCTGGATGTAGGTGAACGACAACTCCAAAATTCAAGATCATTGCCCACCAAACCCTTTGTAGTATTTTCTGTTGGTCATGTGTGTTCAATTCCGTTGTTGGTGGAGTTCAGAATGCTCTTTGATTGTAGGTGAACTATAAATCCCAGCAAGTACAACTCCCAAATGACAAAAATCAACCCCCCCCCCCCAACCCCACCAGTATTCAAATTTGGGCAAATTGGGTATTTGTGCCAAATTTGGTCCAGTGAATGAAAATACATCCTGCATATCAGATATTTACATTACAATTCATAACAGGAGCAGAATTACAATTTTGAAGTAGCAATGAAAATAATTTTATGGTTAGGGGTCACCACAACATGAGGAACTGTATTACGGGGTCACGGCTGTAGGAAGGATGAGAAAAACTGCTCTAGGGCATCACTAAACTAAAAACTCCAGACTTGTTGTCATGGCTGTTAAAGTGGACCGATAGCACTATATTAGTGAGGTGTGATAGGGCCTTCTGTCTTTTAAGGAAAGTAGGAAAGACATCTCCAAGGTTCTGTCTTTGCAAGAAAACTGATTCTGAAGATCAGCTTAGTATTGGGCTTCCCCCCCCCCCCATGTCAGGAATGACTTGAGAAACTGCAAGTCACTTCTGGTGTGAGAGACTTGGCCGTCTGCAAGGATGTTGCCCAGGGATGCCTGAATGTTTTGATGTTTGTCCATCCTTGTGGGAGACTTCTCTCATGTCCCCGCATGGGGAGCTGGAGCTGACAGAGGGAGCTCAGCCACGCTCTCCCCAGATTCAAACCTCCAACCGGTTGGTCTTCAGTCCTGCAAGCACAAGGTTTTAACCCATTGTGCCAATGGGGTCTCCTAGTATTGAGCTTGTAAGAGTGTAACAGTACCATGTCAACTTATTACAAATAAATGGGTTGCTGTGAGTTTTCCAGGCTTTTTCTGGTCATGTTCCAGAAGCATTCTCTCCTGACATTTCACCCAATGTATATGGCAGGCATCCTCAGAGGTTGTGAGGTCTTTTGGAAACTAGGCAAATGAGGTTTATATATCTGTGGAATGTCCAGGGTGGGAGAAAGAACTCTTGTCTGCTTAAGGCAGGTGTGAATGTTGTAATTGGCCACCTTGATTAGGATTGTTTTGCAGCTTCAAAGCCATGTCAGACAACACAGAGAAGCCACTGAAATTCACAAGCAGGTGGACAATTTCAGCAGAAAGGCAAAAACCATGAAAATGAACAATATCTGGATACCAGTATTTAAAAACTCTAAAATCATAACAGTAAATAAAGAGCAACACTCAAAAAACAGGGGAAATCCAGACAAGAAACAATCAGGGCCAGCTAATACCTCCCAACAAAGGATTCCTTCGGGCAGGAAGCAGCCACGCTTTGAAGTTGCAAGGCCATTCAGTGCTAATCAAGGTGGCCAGTATTTTGCCCCCCCCCAACCAATTGCTGATATATATTTTCTGTTCGTCGTGGGAGTGTGCCATATTTGGTTCAATTCCATCATTGATGGAGTTCAGAATGCTCTTTGATTGTAGGTGAACTATACATCTCAGTAACTACAACTCGCATATGTCAAGGTCTATTTTCCCCCCAAGAGCGCCTCAAAAGTGCCCTTGGGCAAAATCAACTATATTGCGAATGCTTACTTTGCGTAATGGGTTGAGCTGCCCCTGCAGGTGAAACATCAGGAGAGAATGCTTCAGGAACATGGTCATACAGCCAAGAAAACTCACAGCAACCCAGTTATTCCAGCCGTTAAAGCCTTTGACAACACATATTAATAACTTATTATTTAATCAAGTTTTATTGCATTTTAATTTGTTTTAGTCCACTACTGGAGGAATTTTAGGATAGTAATTAGTGTCTATTTGTCTGTGTATTTTGTTTCTTATGTCTTTTATTGTTGATATGGTCACAGGACAAATCAATCAACAGATCTACGTATCTATCAATCCACCTGTCTATTAGGAATAATGAATTTTGTTTTGACAACCTAGATGTCTCACAAATGGGATTCTTGTTTCCTCAGGTTTGCCATGGCAGTTGCAAATGGCTCCGTAAACATCACAGAAGCATTTCCATATATCAGGTACAGATTGAAGGGGTTTCTGAAAAAGACCGGCAATGCATGGATGTGTGCATTCCTACGTACACACAACTGGAAAAACAAACAAAAACTACTTGACCTTAGACTTTGTTCAGGGTTATCTTCCATTCTTTAACATCCTTTGCTTCAAGAAGTCAGCTTGCTGCCTTTAGAATCAGAGCCTTTTGGGTGATTGACCCAATCTTATGAAATACTTAGGAGATGTGCTTATGTTTTGTAATTTAATAAATTTGGTAACGCAGTCTGGGCCCTTCCAGACAGGCCCTATATCTCATGATCTGATCACATGTTTTCTGCTTTAAATTGGATTATATGAGTCCTCATTGCCAGATAATCTGGGATAAACAGAAAATCTGGGAGCAGATTCTGGGATATAGAGACTGTCTGGAAGGGCCCTTTGTTTCCAAAGACCATTTGATAGTCTGTGGAATGAATGTGGTGTCTATTGTAATGGTGTCTATAAAGTTTAACTGACCTGTAGGCAGCCTTAAGGTAAAGTTTTCCCCTTGACATTAAGTCTAGTTGTGCCCAATTCTGGGAGGTGGTGCTCATCTACATTTCTATGCCAAAAAGCCGGCATTGCCCTTAGATGCCTCCAAGGTCACGTGGCCAGCATGACTGCATGGAGCGTTGTTACCTTCCTGTCGAAGCGGTACCTTTGAACCATTGACATTAGCATATTTTCGAACTGCTAGGTTGGCAGAAGCTGGGGCTAACAATGGGAGCTCACCCCGCTCCCTGGATTCGAACTGCCAACCTTTCGGTTCTGCCTTACAGATGTATAATTTGAAGAAAAAAACTAAAGGGCTATGAAATACCCTGCTTTGTGTCTCCTCAGCACCTGTGGCGCATACCCACCCCAGAGCTGCCTATTTGGTCAAGTCCTTAATACAGGATCATTTCTAGGTAAGACTAGTATTTCATATCATATTCCTTCTGTTACCAAAAGCACTTCCTAAGTTCCTACTGATGGGGGAATTGAATTGAACTTTTCAGCACATCACTGGGAACAAGATGGTCTCACAAAACCAGTCTCGTAGCTCCACCAGAACTGAAAAGTTCAGTCCAAGTGAAACTATGCAAGTTGTAGTATCCTTAAAGAGCAGGAGATAGGTATAGAATACACTGAGCACCATTGGGGTTTGGAGCAAAGATCCCCCATAGATAGCAAAATCTCAAGTCCTATTATATAAAATGGTGTCCCTTATATTAAATGGGGAAAAATATCAAAGTTTGCTTTTTGGAATATTTTTTAAAATAATTTTAAGCCGTGGAAGAAGAAGGCATGGATATGGAGGACCAAAGGTATAGCACAAATGTGAGTAACCCAGGGGTGTATAGAATTAATGATTAAATGTGTTGTCAAAGTCTTTCATGGATGGAATCACTGGATCAGGAGAGAATGCTTCTGGAGCATGGCCATATACCTCGGAAAACTCACAGCGTCCTAAAGGATAAAACATTAAATGTACCAAGCTAAGAGATTTCATGGAGTAAAGTCATTATTACTTACGTCTCTTCCAGGTGTAGTCATCTGCTTTTTAAAGTACCAACAAGTGCGGGATTATGGCTGTCGCTCCCGTTTAAATATAATTGGGCTTGTTCTAGGCATATTCTGTGCCCTTGGAGCATCCATGGTGGGCAATTTCCAGGTAAGAAGTTGCTAATGGAGGGACAAGAATTAAATTGAGTAGGGATTGTAAGGGGCACCTTGCTCAAATTACAAGGACAAAGTAGGGGCTGACCACTTCCTTTTGTGAGTGCCACTTTAGCATTAGAACTAAAGAGAACAATGGCTTCTTTTACATATTAATCCCATACTTCACTCCAACTGAGAGCTGTCTAATCCGAGTAAAGTTTAAAGATAAATAGCCAGAGGAAGAAGAGAGAGGAAGATGTGGATGGAGCAGGAAGTTTCCCATCAACAGAAAATGCATTGCTTTTTTATTTAAATGACAGCCATTGTTTTTTTTAAATTGGCCTCTTTACCTGTAAAGTGCATATCTTCTGAAGCTGTGCATATTGCATGTATGGTGCTGTTGTTTTAACAGTGATGCATTTCCTCTTTGGGAGCAATAGGAGAAAAGCTATTTTAGCGGTTCAGAAGGGCTTATAAATCTAGTTATTTATAATTATTTAATTATATAAATGGAGCCCCCAGTGGCTTAGTGTTAAAATCCTTGTGCCAGCAGGACTGCTGACCCAACAGGTCAGCAGTTCGATTCTGGAGAGAGTGGGTTGAGCTCCCTATGTTAGCTCCAGCTCCCTATGCAGGGACATGAGAGAAGCAGCCTCCTACAAGGATGGTAAAACATCAGACATCCAGGCGTCTCCTGGTCAATGTCCTTGCAAATAGCCAATTCCCTCATGCCAAAAGCAACTTGCAGTTTCTAGGGAGCCAATAGATTGTGGTGATTTGAATGTCAAACTAGGAATTCAAATTCCTGCTCGGCCATTGAAATCCATTGAGTGCCTTTGGGCTATGTAGTCACATTCAACCTAAGAGAAAAGCCTTGGGAAATGTCAATTAAGCAAATCTTGATAAGGAAACCTTATGAAAGGATTGCAGTAATTTGGAGTTAATGTAAAGGAACTTAAAGCAACAACTAGCTATCTTTGCAAACACTTATTTTTTGTGTGTCAGGAGCAACTTAAGAAAACTGCAAGTCACTTCTGGTGTGAAAGAATTGGCTGTCTGCAAGGACGCTGATGTTTTATTGTCCTGTGGGAGGCTTCTCTCATGTTCCTGCATGAGAAGCTGGACATAACAAACGGGGAGCTCACCCTGCTCCCTGGATTTGAACTGCTGACCTTTTGGGGCAAGGGATTAACCACTGAGGGCTTCAACTGCAAAGACTAAATGAGGCAGATGACGAGAGGGGCTTTTTATGTGAATGACTTCTCATAGGCCTATAGGTCGAAGGTGACTTGACAACAAATGAGAACATCCTACAAATCCAGTAACTTGAGCACTGAATTGTGTTGATGGGGAAAGTGTTCCAGTGTTATGATGTGTGTTCTTCTTTCTCCCTACTTCCAGCAATACAACCAGCTGGAAACTCATTTGTTTGGGGCCTTCTTGGCTTTTGTGGTAGGAATCCTTTATTTCTGGATCCAGACTTTTCTAACCAATCAAGTGAAACCAAGACATGGAGGACGGTGGATTGCATCTCTTCGGTTCTCCCTCAGCTTCTGCGGCTCGGCCTTCCTCATTGCCAGTATCCTCAATATGGCATCTATAGACTGGGGAAAGTGGAGGGAAAGAATGGGCTACTCACTGTTGGCCAACATTTAGTATTATCTGTGCTATTAACACTGCGTTAGATAGACATAGGACAGTGCTACCCAAAATGGTCATCTCAGTATGCAAGTGATAAGTGGTCAACCCATTGAGAGTTTTCAGGAAGGAAAGAAGTAGCAGTAGCCAATGGAAAGAAATACGGTACAAGTTCTAGAGAATGAATGAAAATTAATGGTTGGTTTGACCTCTCAGTTAACCTGAAAAAGCAAGAAACTGAGAAAATCAAAGCCCTAGGGTTTGATAACAAGCAGTTTCACATCATTCATGGGCAATGAAAGGTGTAGGGAAGGGTGTCGAGGTTGGCATAATTTGGCACCCAGCAAAATATAAAAATGAATGTGTTACAGTCGGGCCTCCACTTTTGAGGATTTCACTTTTGTTAATTTAACTAATTTGGTCTCTCTAGGTCAGGGGTTCTCAACGTTCCTAATGCTGCGACCCCTTAATACAGTTCCTCCTGTTGTGGTGACCCCCAACCATAACATTATTTTCATTGCTACTTCATAATTGTAATTTTGCTACTGTTATGAATYGTAATGTAAATATTTGATATGCAGGATGTAATCTCATTCACTGGACCAAATTTGGAACAAATATCCAATATGCCCAAATTTGAATACTGGTGGGGTTGGGATGGGAGGATTGATTTTGTCATTTGGGAGTTGTAGTTGCTGGGATTTACAGTTCACCTACATTCAAAGAGCATTCTGAACTCTACCAATGATAGAATTGGACCAAACTTGGCACACAGAACTCCCATGACCAACGGAAAGTACTGGAAGGGTTTGGTGGGCATTGACCTTGAGTTTTGGAGTTGCAGTTCGCCTACATCCAGAGAGCACTGTGGACTCAAACAATGATGGATCTGGATCAAACTTGGCATGAATATTCAATATGTCCAAATGTGAACACTGGTGAAGTTCAGGGAAAATAGATCTTGATATTTGGGAGTTGTAGTTGCTGAGATTTATAATTCACCTACAACCAAAGAGCATTCTGAAGCCCACCAATGATAGAATTAGGCCAAACTTCCCACACAGAACTCCCATGATCAACAGAAAATACTGTTTGTGATGGTCTTTGGTCACCCCTCTGACACCCTCTCGTGACCCCTTCAGGGGTCCCGACCCCCAGGTTGAGAAACACTGCTCTAGGTCATCCAATGGAGCCCCCGGTGGCACATTGGTTAAACCACTGAGCTGCTGAACTTGTTGACCGAAAGGTCAACAAACCCCAGCTCCTGCCAGTTCAAAATCATGCAAATGTGAGATCAATAGGTACCACATCTGCAGGAAGGTAACAGTGCTCCATGAAATCATGTCGGCCACATCACCTTGGAGGCGTCTATGGACAATGCCGGCTCTTCGGCTTAGAAATGGAGATGAGCACCAATCCTCAGAGTTGGACATAACTAGACTTAATGTCTAGACTTTACTTTTACTCTTAGGTCATCCAATGTGACCCTATGGTCAACTTATGCTATAGAGTTGCACAGGAAGACCTAGAGATTCCTACAGAGAAAACAAATCTCTAGCATTTGTTTTCCTACAGCATGACCCTATAATCACTTTCCTGCAGTTGATTGTAGAGTGAATGTGGATGGCTGACTGTATTTTGAACTGTTATTTTATCCATCTTTATATGGCCATGGTACATTTAGGATGGGGAAGCCTACTGGTGGCATATTTCACAAGACCTTCCTTGCCACCAAAAAACCTTGAGCCACCAACATTGGCCACTTCCTAGCCATGACCAATTCTGTTTCAGAACTGACAAACATTGCCTGGTCCTTCTCCTTGACTCTTATCCCAGCGGTTTCACTTTTTTATTTGAAACTCGATTCTGAGTCGGCCTACTGTGAATGGGCCCTAGCCATGGACCTGTTCCTGCTCTTTGGCCTCTTTGCAGTGGACTTCTGGCACATCGGCACCTGCTCAGTCCATGTGCACCATCAACGGGCGGACCAGGAATCCCCAGACATCCAGGCATCAACGCAGACTCTAGCACTCTGATAACTCTACAAGAAGAAAGGCTCTCTGGGAATCTACCCAACACTGATGGACCTCTGAGCTCCCATTTCTAGTTGAGAGAGTCATGCCTCCTTTTCTCTCACTTTTAATGGGCCGACAAAGCAATATCAGCTGTTAAGAGTGAGAAGGAAGAGAAAATGTGCCCAGCTGTGTTCTTCTCCAAGTCTTTCCAACTGGGACTTCTATTATCATGTTAGTTCTGCCAAGGAGCAAAATTACTCCCAACTATCATTGTAAGACTCAACTATGTTTTTCCAATGACGGAACCACTTTCTGCCCTCTGTAAGCCAGTATTTTAAGTGCCCATTTTATTTTTTGTTGGTATCAGCAAAGAGGCGCATGTCCCATCCTGAATTATGTTGTTTTGCTCCCTTTGCTGTCAGAAACAAATGTGGCCAAACAATCTTGGTTACAAAACTAAGCCGATGGGACCAGCCTTGGATTTTTTTAAACCTCATATAGAGGCCTAGTAATTCTTTGAAATTTATGCGAGATGTGATGGGGTTATTTCATCTAGTACTTGGACTCATCACGTTGTATAGGTGGAGAAGGAATGGGACAAAACCTATTTTCCACAGCTTGGTTGAGTTCAATGGATCTTGGTGCTACAGATATGATCTGGTCCATTCAGATTCATTATACCAGTTTACCAAAAGAGTGGTTGTGTTTTCTTACTTACCTCTCTAAGCACCCACAAACAGTATTGTTATCCATTGAAGCTGCTGCGTAGAAGCAATGGTTACGTTGCCATGAAACCCACTCTTGAAACGAGTGCATAAATTCCCTCTTTCTCCTTCAGTCTTGCATTAATTCAGTCCATTTAATGCCCTGGCAGTGCCAGGTCAACAACTCTTGTGTGCCCTTCCATTGCTTTAGAAATAGTTTCTATAATCTTCCCCATTCAGTATAAAAGATGGAGTGTAATTATCCCAATATAGTGGACATGGACAAACTTTGGCCCTCCAGGTGTTTTGGACTCCAACTCCCACAATTCCTAACAGCCTACCGGCTGTTAGGAATTGTGGGAGTTGAAGTCCAAAACACCTGGAGGGCCAAAGTTTGCTCATGCCTACCTTAAAGGGATGGATGCTCTATTCAGAGCCTCTCCTCTTTTTTATGTGTTCTCTTCCAAGATTTCCTCAACCTGACTTCTTTCACAAGTGGGAAAAAATTGGCTCCTCCTGCAAACCTCAGATTTTAACTATTTATCATAATAGGATTTTTCTTGTCCAATCTTATTTGTTTCGTGGGAAGAGCATTAATAAACTGAAAGTCGCAGACTGCTATCCTGTTCATGGAGGAGCATATTTGTTGCCCCAAACCAGGTCAAATAAGGTAGAGTTAATCATATTGCAGTTTTTGTTGAAATGTGAATACCATCCATACTTAAGAGAGAAAGCCTTTTTTTCAAAGACAGGATTAAAAACCAGCCAAAATCAGTTGCCAGCTTCTCTGATTTCTAGGGAAAGACAAAAGAATTTGGGTTTGAAAAGAGAATTAATTGCAGAAGTGATCCAACTGGGAGAGATCAAATTGGAATCTTGTGTTCAGGACTCGAAAATATATCACTCTTGTTGCCTCCACATTTCATTAGAACAGTGTTTCTCAACCTGTGGGTCCCCAGATGTTTTAGCCTTCAACTCCCAGAAATCCTAACAGCTGGTAAACTGGCTGGGATTTTTGGGAGTTGTAGACCAAAACACGTGGGGACCCACAGGTTGAGAACCACTGCATTAGAATAAAGTCCAAGACGAAGCACATTGAGAAGATAGTAAACTCTTAATGTATAGTCTCCAACATACACTGCACCCAGGACCTTTCTCATCCAGCTGTTTCTTCTACTGTGCACACCCTTCAGTTTTTATTCCTACCCACAATGGTTCAACTATACTTTTTAGTAACGCACACCATGTACATGGGTGTTCTTCATGTTTCTTTCTGAACTGCCATAATTATGTGTTTGTTCAAAGCCCCCTTGACTCTCAGCTGTAAATGCATGGAGCTCCCAATGCTTACTATGTATGACCTGGTCACAACCCTGTCACATTTCTTCCTTGTCATTCCTTTCTATGTCCCTTCACATATTGATGTTTCTCTTCCCTGGTCCCCTTTGCATAGTAAGGCACCAAAGCATTTGCTTTCTCCCATGGCCTCTCCCTTCACTGGAGGAAGGAGTCACATGGAACCAGTTCCTACAATATTGAAGATCCAGTCTCTCTATGCCTCAGATATGATTTCTTTCCAAGTTATACATACCTATTGCCATCCAAATTCACACATACTAAGCACCAATGACCCAATTTGTGCCACATCCACAGTTCATCCCATTCTTTGTCACAACCAGCTTACTTACTTAGGCAATCCCTCGTTGTCTGAGTAGGATTGTCTTCCAAGATCGGTGTACTGGCAGTGGGTACATAGGTGACTGTGGAGCCCTATTCTTGATCTGCATGTTCTCCCACAGTGAGGGCATTGGTTTCCAGGTGGAAGGCGGTCCCGGTCGGGGTTGGCTTAATGCACCTTCCTCTTGGCATGTTTCTCCCTTTTGCTCTCTGTTTGTGCCTTTTCAAATTCCACACCACTGCTGGTCACAGCTGACCTCCAGCTGGAACGATCAAGAGCCAGGGCTTCCCAGTTCTCAGTGTCTATGCCAGAGTTTTTAAGGTTGGCTTTGAGCCCATCTTTAAATCTCTTTTCCTGCCCACCAACATTCTGTTTTCCGTTCGGAGTAGAGCAATTGCAATAACCCAGTTTGTGCCATATCCACAGTTCATCCCATTCTTTGTCACACTCAGCACCTTCCCTACCTGCCACCCACCGTTGTCTTAGTGTTCAATCCAAACCTTTAGATACAGATGAACCTGCTCACAAGCACATTACAGACCTCCAAAAGCTATAGTCTCTTTTATATATCCAAGCATTCCTTGCCTGTGCATAAATAACCTCATTCAGACACCTGCACATCTAATGTAACCCAGAGAGAGCAGCTTTTCTTTTGGTGATGGTGTGTGTGAGCATTAAGGCAATTTTTCCCACGTACAAACCATTAACAGATGTGGAATCCACCCAAATCCTGCCTTTCTAACGATGCCCACCTTGCAACCCATCTAGAACCATTTCCCTAAAGAAAAGTGACCATTTTCCTTTGGTGCCTCATTCCACATACATCAGTTGGCAACTTCCCAAAAGTTGAGCAGAAATGACACTTGGTAGAACTCTGCCGCAAGGGAACTTTTGAGTGATTGTATTTTTTTTCTTCTTCTGAGCAATAATTAGACCCCGGAGATGACAGGACGTAGGAGGGGGCTGGACAATCAGATGGAAGGACGGGGAGGAGATGGGCAGTGGGATGTGGTTTGTGTGTGTGCATGATGCGGTCAGGTTCACAAAAGAGGGAGGGATTCAGACAGAGACAAGTCCAGAAAAAAATGGGATGGAGGGAGGGTTTACATACAGTTATCTCCTGTTCGTGTGCACGCCCGCATGCGCCATCGCCCACATCTTGTGCCACCCCTCCCAACGGAGAGAAGAGGCTCACCCAAAGCAGGACGAAGGAGGAGGAGGAGGAGAAATGGGAGAGAGAAGCAGGATTGCTTTGCTGAATTTCACTCATACACACACACACTTTATCTAAAAGTTGCCTTTTTTTTTTTGCAAGGGTCTTGTTACAAGATCTGTTGATATCCACTGGCCTTTAAGTCTGCAGTAGCTTCTAGATGTATAATATTGCTCTAGCCTCCCTTACAACTTGTCCCGCTGAATGCCATCCAAGGTCCAAAATGAATCCTGTCCCAGACGTGTGATTTGATGATACCCAGGTCAAAGTTTAGGCCCCAGATCTCAATACCTGATTTATATGGGGTGCCTCTGCCTTCTGTGAAGACCACAAGTCTTTCAAATGATAGCTGAACAGTCTCTCATCTCCAACACTTACACACGCACACACAAACACATGTCAAGACTGCTTTGTGCATATGGAAGCAGTATCTTAAGGGGAAAATAGGAGGAGAGGCTTGGAAGTGGAAATGAGCCATGTACTTACTGAAGCCCTTTGGACAGAGCTACCAAAATTACAGAGACAGAGCCAGTTAGAAGCTAAAGGCTGATACTAACAAGTAAATGAAATCCATGGAATGATTACAAGCCAGAAAAAAAGATTTTGAAAAATGGCAAAGAGTGCTGAACTTATAACCACGCTGGCTGTGGAAGAAAGGAATGGTAGCTTAACACATCCAAAGAATAGCAGTTTGGGGAAGGCTAGAATTGGGTGTTATTGTTTACTATTCTCTTTTTCAAAATAAAATCCCTTAAAATAAGTTTTTCTCCTTAATATGAACCAGAAAAATAAATTTTATATCTCGCTTCTTTTTTCTAAATTAATGTTTTTGGGAGTTTTCATATTTTCAAACTTTTGGAACTGAGTGGTATATATGAGATCAAGTTAGGTAACAAGTGGCCCCCTGGTGGCACAGCGGGTTAAACTGCTGAACTTGCTGACCAAAAGGTCAGCGGTTTGAAACCGGGGAGCGGGGTGACCTCCCACTTTTAGTCCCAGCTTCTGCCACCTAGCAGTGTGAAAACATGCAAATGTGAGTAAATCAATAGGTACCGTTTCGGCAGGAAGGTAATGGTGCTCCACGCAGTCATGCTGGCCACATGACCTTGGAGGTGTCTACAGACAACGCCGGCTCTTTGGCTTAGAAAGGGAGATCGTACCACCMCCCCCCCCCCCCCAGAGTTGGACACAACTAGACGTAATGCCAGGGGAAATCTTTACTTAGGTAACAAGACACAACTTCACCTTTCCATAAATGTAGGGCAGAAAAACTTGAAAAGCCTTACTCCAGGCTTTGGAAAAAGTGGGTTTCAATTAACAAAAGAAACCATGGAGTTTTTAAGGTGCTTTACTTACTCCACTTTTAATCCTAAGAGAAAATAATCTAATGGGTGAGTGTGAACTATTCTTATGGAGTCCCTTCTGCTTATCCCACTTATGATTTGTACAATATTTCTAGTTTCCCACAGTTATTGAGAGTTGTTCTCATGCAATATCACCTTTGTAGGATTTATAAAACATTGTCAGCACAATTTCTTCTTACTAAAAGTGGCAAGGAATTGTAGAAGTGCGATTTTTAAGGTACTTAAGTATATAAGAAGAGGCCTAGTTGGTCCATCATTCTGTTCACATAGTGAACAGTGTCTTCTTAGACGTCCAAAAACTGGACATGAGTACAACAGCATCCTTACATTAATATCCCCCAGCAACTAATACAAAGGAATGCTGGAGGGAATGTCTAGCAGTAACGGATTCTTATTCTCCATTACTCTGTCCAATGATTTTTTTAAAGCCACCTTAGGAGGTCATCGTATCTCATTACATCTCAGGACAGACAATTCCAAAGTTTAACTAGGTATTGCAAATATTTTCTTATATCTATTCTGTGCTTTCAAGTTGAAATCCAGTTGCTATTTGCAATTAGAGTAGACCAACTGAATAAATTGCTCAAGTCTTGTGTAAACATAGCGCCCAACTGTCCAAAACCAACACTTTTTTTTGCCTAGCAATGGGAAACAAGTTGTTTTGAAACTGCTTTGCAAACTCATTTTTTTTCCTTTTTCTGTTTTCAATTATTCTTGGGCAAACTCTTTCCCACTTTCCAAAACCTGCCCTGGATCACTTTTAATATCGCTGCATTAAAATTCTGGCTTTCAGTGTACTTTGCACACTTTTTTGTGGTTTAAATCTACTAAATGTCAGCTTTTATTAGATTGCTTTTATATATTTACGACATAGTTGGCGACCCCGGTGGCTCAATGGGTTAAACCCTTGCGCCGACAGGACTGAAGACTGACAGGTTGGAGGTTCAAATCAAGGGACAGCATGGAAGAGCTCCCTCTGTCATCTCCAGCTCCCCATGTGGGGACATGAGAGAAACCTCCCACAAGGATGGTAAAACATCTGGGCATCCCCTGGGCAACATACTTGCAGACAGCCAAGTCTCTCACACCAGAAGTAACTTGCATTTTCTCAAGTTGCTCCTGACATGCAACCAACCTCACATATTTTAATTTCAATATAGTTACACGTATTTCCATTTACTTGGTATTCGGATTTGTATGGATTCTTTTGTAACATTTTAGGGGAGAATTTTGCAAAGTTTAGATTTTGACAAAAGGATTACTCCCTAGAACTCCAAATAGGTCTTTTTATTTTGACCTCTACTGGCGAAAATGTTTTGAAAACAAAACCTAGCTTTTCAAAACAGAAAAAAAGAAAACCGAGGAAATGAACATTCCTTCATTCCTCTCCGACAACAAGAAATCCGACTAGCTCTGTCTTGCAATTTTAGCCGATGCTGCCATGAGACTGCAAAAAGGTTGGTGCCTTATAGACCACAGAAGGAAAATAAGGAGAAAGGGGATGTCTTGTGGCAAGGACCAAACTGAAAGCAGGAGGGAGTCTGTGAAAAGGGTGCACATGAATGAAGACATCCCCAACCCCAAAAGGAATCAGACTAAATCCCCCATCCCTCACCGGCTCCTGCCCGGTTTCTCCTCCTCTTCCTCCTCCTCCAGTTCGCTTCTGTTTCTTTTTTTTGTTTTTCAGTCTGCCATTTTTCTTTGTTTTTGTTTTCATTTTATGTTATTTCCCCCCTTCTGTTTGTTTTTTTTGTGGATTTGTTTTTGTTTTCTGGTTGTTGTTGTAGTTGTTGTTGTTAACTATTTACAAGTTCACAGTACGGGCTGCTCCCAAGATGGCAACTCTCCGGCCCTGGGGTGAGATGGGGCTGTTCAGATCCAAACCAATCCCCGCCCTCCGCCCCGTCCCGCTGCGTCTCCAGCAGGGCCTTTACCCATCCACATGGTTCATTGGCTGCTTCGGTCCATCTGGGGCAGCTGTGCAGCTACTTCCAGGGGGGTGGGGTTGGCTTCCTTCGGCGGCTTCCCCCCCTGGCTGCTCCTCCACTGCCCCGCTGCCCCATACGTCATGGCTGCTGTGGGGACGGGGGTGAGGATTGCTGGACTTGAGTCCCATTGGACGAGACAAGCTTCTTGTCCTTGGAGCCACGTCGATGGTGTTCGGACGAGACATCGGATTCGGAGCGCCGAGACGGCTGGCAGCTGCGGGTTGGGGTGCCTGGCAAACGGGGCTGCTGCCCATTCTTCTCATCTGGAAGCAGAGAGAAGCCCACATTTTAGAAATGTTTCCCAAGCAGGTGGTCTTTTCTGTCCAAGCTTTGGCTCAGAGTGATATCAAAAGCTCTATTTACACTGACCAGTTAATGCAGTTTGAAGCAAGCTTCAAACAAGCAGACAATCAACAAACTCCCACAACAGTATTTATTTATTTACGATATTTATAGCCCGCCTTTCTCAGCCATAGGGCGACTCAAGGTGGGTTACAGATTGGCACAATTCGATGTCAGGCATTCATAAAAGTGCCATTAAAAACAATCAACATTATGATATAAATCATAAATAAAAACAGTTAAAGCATATAATCAACAGTGTCATCTTGTTAAAAAAATTATCCAGGAACATCGCCTGGCCATTCCATGTTCATCATTCATAGTTCTGTGTTAACTATTCCATTGAATTCTCAAAAGCTTGCTCAAAGAGCCTGGTCTTTACTTTTTTTCAGAAAGTCTGGAGGGAGGGGGCCAATATAATATCCCTGGGGAGGGAGTTCCATAGCTGGGGGGCCACAACTGAGAAGGCCCTGTCCTTCGTCTCTGCCAATCGCACTTGTGAGGCAGGCAGGATCGAGAGCAGGGCCTCCTCAGATGAACTTAAGCTCCTAGATGGTTCATAGGAGGAGATATGTTTGGACAGGTAAGCTGGGCAGCACTTTGAATTATTCTCGGTAGCAAATATGTAAAAGTACATAAAAGAAAGCTCTTAATGCAGTGTTTCTCATCCTGAAGTTCAGGACCCGGGGGGGGGGGGTCATGAGGGGGTGTCAGAGGAGTCGCCAAAGACCATCGAAAACACATTAATTTCTGTTGGTCATGTGGGTTCTTTGTGGGAAGTTTGATCCAATTGGTGGAATTCAGAATGCACTTTGATTGTAAGTGAACTATAAATCCCAGCAACCACAGCTCCCAAATGTCAAGGTCTATTTTCCCCAAACTCCACCAGTGTTCACATTTGGCTATATTGAGTATTTATGCCAAGTTTGGTCCAGATCCATCACTGTTTGAGTCCACGGTGCTCTCTGGCTGTAGGTGAACTACAATTCCAAAACTCAAGGCCAATGCTCACCAAACCCTCCCAGTATTTCCTGTTGGTCATGGGAGTTCTGTGTGGCAGGTTTGGTTCAAATCCATTGTTGGTGGAGTTCAGAATGCTCTTTGATTGTAGATGAACTATAAATTCCAGCAAATACAACTCCCAAATGACAAAATCAATGTTTCCCAAGCAGGTGTTCTTTTCTGGCCAAGCTTTGGTTCAGAGTGATATCAAAATGAGGGAAATGGCCACCTACATAATTGAGTGCCAAACCCCTCTAATATTCAAATTTGGGTGTATTGGGTATTTGTGATAAATTTAGTCCAGTGATATTTGCATTACGATTCAGAACAGTTGCAAAATGACATTGATGAAGTATCAATGAAAATAATGTTATGGTTGGGGGTCACCACAACATGAGGAACTGTATTAAGGGGTTGCGGCATTAGGAAGGTTGAGAAACACTGTCTTAATGTAAATTAGTGCTCTATGAGTTTTTGTAATTACTATCCAGAACTCAAACTGGTTCCAGGATTTCCTATGTAATCATCTGCACGGTGAAGCCACTTTCTTTAATACTGGATTAAATAGTTAGTGTAGATGGGGCCAGAGAAAGTCATTTGGACTATTACTCCCACCAGCCATACTAGATGGGGCAGGGGAGTCTGGGAATTTAGCCTTTAAAAGCCCCACAGAATTGCTGTGGTAGCTGTGTTGACTATGAGCCAAATTCTGAAGCTCTGTCTTTCTTAGGACATGCTTTGGAGCACACTTTGATTTTGAAAGCATGTGTCATAATCAAGGAAAGGTGTCTCTAAAAGACATGAAGGGAAAAAGGGAGAGTAACATTGTCAGTCTGTAATATGAGGGAGATGATGTTCTGACATTGTCAATCTCTTTTCTCCCTGCTCTTTTGGATGCTTTTCAAAAATCTTTTACTGACAAATAAGCATGCATAATTTGAAGAGTTTTGTACCTTTTTGCTTAGTTTTTTTTTTAAAAAAGTAATTTTTCTAAGCGCAGCTCTGAACATCTAGCCTTGAATGCATCTCTTGTGATTTCTGTACACAATATACCTGATTCTCAAAAGGTGCCCATGTTACAGAAGTACAAATATATCCACAGCACAGCGGCACCAGGTTTGTTGTGGCATAAGCTTTCTTGGACTAGAGATAAAGGCACAAGAGCCTCACTGGAGAAGACCAAAGGTCTCTCCGGTCCAATAGTCTGATTTCTAGCCAATGTCCAACCAGAGACCTCTGGAAAACTGAGAAGCAGGGCATGTGTGTTATTCTACATTCTTGTTCCACCTTAATTGTTTTTGGAAATACATTGTCTCTGAATGTACCGGCCAAACCACCCAAAATTTTGTTGTGTCCCTCCCTTCTATAAATTTACTGTATATACTCAAGTATAAGCTGGGTTTTTCAGCCCTTTTTTAGGCTGAAAAAGCCCCCCTCTCCCAGCTTATACTCGAGTCAAAGTTATTTATTATTTTACTCTGTTGTTTTTATTATTATTATTATTATTGTCACATTTATTATTTTACCCTATTATTGTTGTTATTATAAAATTTATTACTTTACTCTAGTATTGTTATTATTACATTTACATTACTTTATTCTATTATTGTTATTTTTATTACATTTATTATTTTACTCTATTATTGTTACTTTACTCTATTTATTATTGTTATTACATTTACATTATTTTATCCTATTATTGTTATTTTTATTAAATTTATTATTTTACTCCACTTATTATTATTATTACATTTATTATTTAACTCTATTATTATTGTTATTATTACATTTATTACTTTACTCTATTTATTATTGTTATTACATTTACATTATTTTATCCTATTATTGTTATTTTTATTACATTTATTATTTTACTCCATTTATTATTATTATTACATTTATTACTTTACTCTATTTATTATTGTTCTTATTACATTTACATTATTTTATTCTATTATTGATATTTTTATTACATTTATTATTTTACTCTATTTATTATTATTATTATTATTATTACATTTATTATTTTACTCTATTATTGTTCTTATATTTATTACTTTACCCTATTTATTGTTGTTATTACATTTACATTATTTTATTCTATTATTATTATTTTTATTACATTTATCATTTTATTACATTTATTATTTTACTCTATTTATTATTATTATTACATTTATTATTTTACTATATTATTACTGCTATTATTACATTTCCATTATTTTACTCTATTATTGTTATTTTTATTACAATTATTATTTTACTCTATTATTATTGGAAGGATACGTAAGAACATTTGCATTGAAAAAGGTTAGAATAATGGTTTAATCAGAGTTGGACAGTCTTATCTGAAATTACAGTTTTATGTAAATATTCATAAACATTTAACCTACTGATGCCTCAATTAATGTAATTCTATTGATATCTATTTTTATTTTGAAATTTTTCAGTAGCTGCTGCATTTTCCACCCTTGGCTTATACTCGAGTCAATATGTTTTCCAAGTTTTTTTGTGGTAAAATTAGATGCCTCGGCTTATGTTCGGGTCGGCTTATACTCGAGTATATACGGTGATTCTGCAATATAATACAGCATTTTCCTTCGTCCTGAAGATTTCAGTCGTTAGTCTCATTGAACGATGCCTACTCTCCCCTGCCGCCACCACACACTTAAAGCATAAGAAAATGCATCTTGTCCACATTATCTTGTTAGCAAACATCTACTGCCCAGGAAGCACATGGGAGACAGCCTGCTCTGGCTTGCTTATCAAGAGCATCTTCACATGGAATGTATTTTCAAGAGGGTCCCTCTGGATGAATTTATAATGAGAGAAATGGCCACCTACATAATTGAGTGCCAAGCCATTTCTGCTTTTTGAAAGTTAAATGTTCCGAACCCCACGAGAGCACCTAGCAATCAGTGCATTTCTTTCCATATTAGCATAATATATTCTCGATGCCATGCATCAATTAATTACTAAGTGCCACAATTTGTACCTGCATACGATTTAAGAGGAAATCTTAAGCATCTGCCTTTGGCACTTTGCTCTGACTGGAGAATTTAAGGGGTGCTAATAAAGAAATACAGATTGGGTGAGGGCAACATATAAACAGAGGTACAATTGTATACAATTCAACTAAAAGGATTAAATAAAAACTGAAAGGGGACAGAAGAGCGTGAATTAGAGTTCCTTTTGTGAAGCAAAGAGGAGGAACATCCACTTATTAGAGAATCTTTTCTGCCTACTCCCCCCTCACTGAAAATTTTCAGGTTAAAAAACCCCTGGTTTATTTATGAATTTTAACTGATTAACCAAATCCCCATGCTAAGTCTACAAGAAGCAAAAATTAAACAAGTGTCATGGATCATGTTCTGCAGTTGTTGGTGGTTGGTGGTGGTAGGCCTAGCAGTTGGTGATGGAAGGATTAATGTAAGTCTTAGTTCTAAAGGGTTGAGTAATCTTTAAGTAAGAGTTCATGGGTGAAAGCAATTAAAACTGGTGGTATTCAAGAGATAGGTTGCAGCTGGTGTTTCTGGAAGGAGCTAGCCTTGGAACTGATCTTTGGGAGAAAAGTACTTGTCTTATTTTGGTGGTGGATGCTGCTGGTTTTCCCCCAGGTTTGTGGATTTTTGGTATCCTGACCTGTCTCCTGTACTCTTGGAACCTTGAATCACTGGACTGGCTTTTGACTACGGTATAGACTCTTAATCCCTGAACTTTGCTCATTGAACTCTCAGTGTTTGACCACTGGACTAGACATTTTGACTACGGTGCTATCTTGAACCTGCAACAGTGTTTGCTGTCAATTTTTGTTTTATATTGTGTGGTAGAGTGCTATCTTTATGTTTTATATTTTGGACTATTTAAACAACCAGACAGTAAGTGCTGCTTTAATTAAATTGTTTAACACAAACTGGGAATTTGTTTGGTTCACCTCTGCCGGAATAACGGCAGAGCCCTGGTATCGTGACAACAAGTCCCTCCAGAAGTGCAAACACTATCTCAAGCAAATTTCGACAATTTATTCACACTGTCATTACTTGCATCAATAGCCGATACAATGTTCCCTCGCTACTTCACGGTTCGCTTTTCACGGACTTTCTGTTTCGCAGGTTTTTGCCTCCCAGTTTATGAATGTTTGCCGTTGCCCTGAGCGGCATTCTAATACCACCTCCTGGCAATGATGGAGTGTGGAAGGGGGTTTCTCCCTCCCCCTTGGGAGAGGGCAGTCAGTCAAGAGAGATTGCAAAGCAAAGAAGATAGCTAGCAAAAAACAAAGGTGTGCGGTGCCTTTAAATCTCTCCTCGCTTGTGCTTCACCCTCAGAACTCGGTATACATATATAGTGTCCCTACTTTGCGGATTTTCACTTTTCACGGGTGGTCCTGGAACATAACACCAGCGATAAGTGAGGGAACACTATAGTGTAAGCAACCAAGTTGGCCCACTCATAACTGTCAGACAAATCCTACGGTATGAAGGGGCGGGGGGATTTGAAGGCCCACATGAAGAAAACCAGACTTGGTGGGGGTGGTTGACAGGGTGGAGCTGTAGATTATTTAAGGCTACTCTGCCCCTCTGCTGTGTTCTTTGCTTCAGCATGTGGTAGGAGGCAGGTTCCTAATGGGGAATTAGGCCTTTCCCTCCTTGCTCTCCCCCTCCCTTTTTCCAGATAGTAGGATTCCTATTGCTATGCCTATATATAGGTTGTTTTCAACTCTTAAACATTTGAAAACATACATAAGAAGCACAATGGGGCAAAAAAGACTGACTGGACTTGCACTCTTGAGTGCCCACCGAAGCTTATCAATGGAGCCTGATTGCTGTCAAAGTGTATTGACACAGTTTTCAAGTGTTTCCAACAGACTTGTAACTTTAATTTAGCAATTAACAGTCATTTTCAGATATTTTAAGACCTGAAACTTTATAACTAAAATAGAAAATTGATTTAATAAAGTTTATATAAAAATGTAGACTTAGCCATACTATTTAAATTATTTTGTGTTATGGAACTACTTTTCATGATTTACTTTAAAAAAGTCGGTCGTCCCCCCCCCCCCCCCCCCATTTTTTTTTTCTGGCTATGGACATCAGCGGCCATAATCCTGTATGGCTCAGCATAGTCAAATATGCAGAACTATTGCACTGGACTATATATCAGCCCCAAGATCTACTATAAAACTTCTAAAACTTGCTTCCACAGCTATTCTATGCCTGAAAGAGAGCAATTAGGTCACACATATGTCTATATCCTTGTAGCCCAGTGGTTCTCAACCTGTGGGTCCCAGTAATCCCAGCCAGTTTACCAGCTGTTAGGATTTCTGTGAGTTGAAGGCTGAAACACCTGAGAACCCACAGGTTGAGAACCATGGCATAGCTAGACATGAAGCAACTACATCATCCATTAAGGTTCAGAAGAACATCTCTGAGGCTGATGGAATCACTTCACATCTGCTTACTGGAACACAGATCTTTCTGTGATCCTCTCTGTTCTCCATCTAACATAAATGGGAGAGTATTGTCAGAAATACTGAATATTAACTAGGTATTTTTGCTTACAAAAGTGTGAGTCAAGCACTAAAAGAGTTTGTAGGCTGAAGCCTGTTAGAGTTAGTGGGCCAAAGCTAGTGTTGTCCTGAGGAGCGTGAGGTAAACCTCAGTGTGAGAAAGCTCGAGTGTGAAGGCTGCTGCGTGTAAAGTTACTGTGTACTAGTGCTATGGAAACCTTGTTTCAAATAGTGCAACCATATTATTTTACTACAAAAAAAGCTTCTTATGGAAGAAATAACATTGTTCTGTGTGTTTTTGTTCTTTTTATCACTTTGGGCTACTGGTACGGGGTCATACTGCTGCCGATAAGTTACTCTGCTGTGCATTTATGGGGAGGGTCTTTCATTAATAAGCCCACTCGCCCAACAAGTATTTCAGTAGCTCTACAACAGGCTGGGGCAGGGGAGGGGGTTGTTCCTTGCAGTAGAAGAAAGGAATTCCAACCTATGCACAACCAAAAAGTAGACATACACAAGCGTAAGGTTGTTGCCACTAACAGGATGGCAGCCAGTATTTGTATTGAGTAAGATGTGATACAGTACCATCCTTACCTGCGAGGGCTTGTACAGATGGCTGGTCATGTGTGCTGAGCAGTTGCGCCTGAATCGTTTCCACAACCCGCTTAAACCGGCGGCTGGGACCTAAGCAGGTAAATAAACAGATCAGCTTGATCTCCTCAGATGGATCCTAGAAGACTGATTCCCAGAAGAGGGTAGTGCTTGGGTCGCAATGGGGGGGGGGGAGGCAGAAGGGTAAAATATAAATACTGTATAAAGGAATTCTGCAGGTCTTAGAGCCAGATTTGTGCTGTACTGTTCATATATGTTATTCCTTCAGGACTATGTGTTTGACTGCAGTATTCCAGTGACAGCTGGGAGGAGAATTAATATGGATCCTTGAGGCAGATGTTAAGGCCCTTCTTAGGTCTTGGGATAGATGTTATATTGCCTCTAGAGAGGATTAGTTCTAGGGGAACATACAGTTGCACAAACAAGTCTGACCTTTCCTGCAAGTGAGTTGGCACTTCCACATCCACTGTGCACTTCAACCAGACTTCATTCAGTATATGAACTGTCACTCTTGAGTTACTCCAGCCTTGCACACAGGACTAATAATATTAGTCATCGACAACTAAACAGTGGAATGCCAGGCAGGTGCTGGAACATCCTGGCAGAAGAGGAGTGAGGTTTTCCAAGCCTCCTCTGAAGTAATGAAGGAAAGCCCCTGCTTTGTCCCAGCACAGAGACGCAGCTTTCCTCCTCTGCCAGCCTCAAAAACCCTTGCTGATTTGGTGAGATTGTTCACAAGCTTGTCCCAGTCTCAAGAACAGAGAAAAATGAAGGGCCAGAAAAGAATAACACCTTTTTTCCTTTGTCCTAATAATAAACATTTTGTCTAATCTTGGCATTCCACCATAATTAAGAACAGACAACTCTGCATCTGTATGCTTGTCCACTATGTCCTGCCTCATGTACAGAGGAAGAACTATTGGAGGCTACAGACAATGCCATTGCTGTTGCCCGTTTTTGGTCAAAAGATATTTCGCCACCTGCCCCTTCTATTTTTATCAGTTTTATACTAATTTATGCAATGCTTTTGATACAAAATAATAATAACCGTAATTATGAAAACTGGTATAAGATAGGTGTATGCTGTGGTCTCTGTGTGATGGGATATATCAGTGGATATATCAAGAGATACTATCAAATGCTAAACAGGGATGGGTAAAGTGTGACTCTGGTGTCGCAGCTATTTTTGTGGGTCCTGATATCTTTCTCCTTTCCTTTTTAGCAAAAATGGCAAACTGCTGTAAAACTTCAGAAGGAGTGGTGCATTTTAAAAAGAAAAGAAGCCCTACCCACACTAAAATAAAGGTAAAGGTTTCCCCTTGACATTAGTTGTGCCCCACTCTGGGGTGGTGGTGGTGGTGCTCATCTCTATTTCTAGCCTAAAGAGCCAGCATTGTCCGTAGACACCTCCAAGGTCATGTGGCCAGTATGACTGCAAGGAGCGGCGTTACCTTCCTGCAGATGTGGTACCTATTGATCGACTCACATTTGCATGTTTTCAAACTCCTAGGTTGGCAGAAGCTGGGCCTAACAGTGGGAGCTCACCCTGCTCCCCGGATTTGAACTGCCAACTTTTCAATGAGCAAGTTCAGCAGCTCAGTGGTTTAACCCACTGTGCCACCAGGAGGCCACATTGTGTAACACATAAAAAGCCTATTTTTCAAAATCAGAATCGACCACTTCCATTTCTCTTAATTCATTTAAGTATTTGTAGCAATGTGATCCCCTCCCAAATTATCCTATGGAGAGAAAATTGGTCTCTGGATCCACAACTATTGCCCAGCTTCATTTAAAAAAAGAAGTAGTAAAGCCAAGGTCCTCCCTCAAAATTTATGGACATTATAATAATTATCTTTATGTTATCGTTGATATTATTTTATTATTTGTTATTTCACAAAACATTTCCATACCATTTTTTGTTAGCATAAAATAAATATGGATTTTTGATAAAAAGAAATTAGTATACAAATGTTTTCTTTTAAAAAATCAAAATAATGAAATATCAACGACGGTGATTATAATGATGATGGATCAACCACATTGTGTGGACGATTGGAATACTTCCTATAACTTGATCCTTATAACATAGCGGTGTTTGACAATGTATAATAATACTAGATGACTAACAAAAAAATTACAATAAAACAATGATAAAACAATAAAATGTTTGGGGTTGCTGTGCATTTTCTGGGCTGTATGGCCATGTTCCGGAAGCATTATCTCCTGACGTTCTGCCCGCATCTATGGCAAAGTGTCAGGCATCCTCAGAGGTTGGAAGGAAGGAAGGAAGGAAGGGAAGAGAAGGAAGGGAGGGAGGGAGGGAGGGAGGGAGGGAGGAAGGAGAAGGAAGGAAGGAAGGAAGGAAGGAGAGAGAAAGAAGGAAGGAAGGAAGGAAGGAAGGAAGGAAGGAAGGAAGGAAGGAAGGAAGGAGAAAGAAGAATGAATGGATGGATGGAAGGAAGGAAGGAAGGAAGGAGAAAGGAAGGGAGGGAGGGAGGCCGGAAGGAAAGAAAAAGAAGGATGTGGGTGAAACATCAGGAGAAGGGTGTGGGCAAAATGTCAGGAGAGAATGCTTCTGGAACATGGCCATACAGCCCAGAAAACTCACAACAACCCAGTGATTCTGGCCACGAAAGCTTTCGACAACACAATAAAATGTTTTCTTAACATTGCCAGGGGAAGCTAGTAAGGTTAACAAATAGGAAACAATCCAAACACATAGGTCTTCATGCTATGGCAGAAATGGTTAGCCCACTTGATCTCAATGGGAAAACCCATTTTCCACTTTAGATACCACAATGGAGAAGATCCCTGCTAGGCAGGACTTCCCCTCAAAGCATAACCATCAGGACCATCGATGCCAATATATTTCCCCAGCAGAATGCATTACTCCTCTTGTCAGTTTTTAGGACCTTCAAACACAGAATCGGGAACCAGTTGTTGGCTTCACCTTGCACAGAGGGTTGGCAGATTCAAATATGGAAATCATGCAGGTAAAGAGGCAAGTTACAGGGCCAAATATAACCGCCGTTCGGCAACAACTTATTTTGATGTTCTGATAGAGATTATTCTAATATATTCCAGGACATAACTAAAATGTGTAGGTTTTTTCCCCCTTGCAAGGACTAGACTCTTTTCCTCCAGCATGAACATATCTACACTGCAAGCTTAAACAGATTTAACAATAATTTTCCTCCCCACAAAAAATGAAAGATCTTCGAAAACAATCTTTTTCTTCTTTCCATAGAATCTAAAGAGCTATAGCTCAGTCATCTGTCAGCAAAATGGCTAACAGTGTTGTCTTTTCTTTCTCTCACTTAAATCCTGGGCTCTACCAATCTTGCTTTGCTTTAGTAACTATCCCACGTGTGGCCGTCGCCACATCCGCCCTGACTATTCAGCCATTTCCAAAAGTCTGGTGGGTAATTTGGTCTTTCTAATCTGATAATGGACTGGGTGTCTCACAAATTTTATGAACCCCGGAGGCCAATCAGCGGAGGATTCCAGGGCACCCACCTGAGATGAGGGTGAAGGTGACAGAGTAGATCCCGCTGTCCTTGTGCGCCTCCCCACCCTCGGAGTAGCTGATGTCAACTTGGAACTTGACAGGTTTCTGGAAGACGGAAGGGCCACCTGACGACTTATATTCGGCCCGGAAGCTTGTTTGGGATACAACACTGTGACTCAGGCTGGGGATCTACGGAGGTGAGGGAAGGCAGGAGACATCAACTCACAGCGCATTCGACGGCTGGGCTCTTCTTCCGTGGTCCAGCTCATTCCATCACCTCCAACACCCAGGAGGCATCATCCGTCAACCCTTCCCTACACCATTCGTCCTTGACCCCTTCAACCCGCCCAAAAACATGCATGTCTCCCACTTTCCCTCCCTGATCCATAGCACTTACTGAGAGGAAGGCATGTACAATATCAGCCTTGATGGAGCTCAGGGGCTTGTCTTTGATGACCACAAAAATTTGTTCCTCTTTGTCAAGGTTGATAAAATTCCCAAACCAGGATTTCTTGGCTAACCTGAAAGGAGGAAAACAGAGCAAGGAGGCTACAAAAGCCTATCGATAAACAGTGGGAAGGATTGGATATTGGGTCAACGGTGGACACTGAGGGCCAATGGGAAGGTATGTATTCCAAAAGAGTAACTTTTCTGTGCTCTGCCAAGAGGCAGCTATGATGATTGTGCTCAACCAGGCAGAGGCAAACTTTCTAACTCGGGGACCGCATGATAGCATTCCCTGCTAAGAGGACTGGTTTCTCAGTGATGGAAGGAAGGAAGGAAAGAGAGAAGGAAGGAAGGATGAAAGGGAGAAAGGGAACAATGGAAGGAAGAAGAAAGAGGGAGGTAAGGGAGGGAGGGAAGGAGGAAGGAAAAGAGAAGGAAGGAAAGACAGAGGAGGGAGGGAAGGAAGGATGAAAGTGAGGAAGGAAAGAAAAGGAAGAATGAAAGGGTAGAAGGAAGGAAGGAGAAAGATGGAGAGAGGGAAGGAAGGAAGGATGAAAGTGTGGAAGTGAAAGAAGGAGGAAGAAAGAAAGAGGGAAGGAAGGAAGGGAAGGAGGAAGGAAAGAGAGAAGGGAGGAACGATGAAAGGGAGGAAGGGAAGGATGGAAGGAAGGAGAAAGAGGGAGGTAAGGAGGAAGGAAAGACAAAGGAAGGAAAGACAAAGGGGAGGGGAGGAAGGATGAAAGGGTGGAAGGAGGAAGGAAAGAGGGAAGAGAGGGAGGGAGGGAGGAAGAGAAGGATGGAAGGGAGGAAGGAAAGAAAAAAGAAGGAAGGACAAAAGGGTAGAAGGAAATGGAAGGAAGAAGAAAGAAGGAGGGAGGGAAGGGCGGAATGAAAGATAAAAGGGAAAGAAGGAAGGAAGGAGAAAGAGGGAGAGAGGGAAGGAAGGAAGAAAGGAAGGAAGGACAAAAGAGTGCAAGTGAAGGAAGGAGGAAGGGAGAAAGAGGGAAGGAAGGGAGGGAAGGAGGAGGGAATGAGAGAAGGAAGGAAAGGATGGTGTGAGGGACGAGGGTCTGAGAAAAGAGCCCAAGGGCCCACATCCAGCCCCCAGGCCTGGATTTGTCCATATCTGTGCTAAACAGTACACAGTACAACAATTTGAATGCGATGAGTGTTTTTAATTGGAGTGAAGGGAGAAATACAAGACCACCCATATCTTCAGCTACACTTTGATTGTGGAAGAAAAGTATCATTATTATCCAAAAAGGCACTTGATTAAAACAAAACCTGGAGATAAGAGAAAAGGACGGAATCCCCCTTCCTTTCTGCTGTCTCCCCCTTCTGATACTCACTCAGGGGATGATTCTGGAGTAAGACTGGACATTTCCTCTGGTGTGGGAACTGCAAGAGTGGAAAAATAGTAACACATAAAAATAAGCATGATCCATTTTCAAAGCAAAGGGTGTATATCTGTTATCAGATGCTAAGGACAAATTCAGGGTGTGAAACTTTCATCCTTCACTTGGGGAAGGGCACATACTTTACATGCAGAAAAGATCCTAGAGAGATTCTTAGGCATCTTTAGCAAAGGCTGAAGAAATCTTCTCTTCGAAACCACTGAGAGCTGTAACCAGTCAGTGTCCTACACTAAAGGAGGGGAAGGAAAACCTCTTTCGGCTCAGGGTTTTCAGGAACTGCATTCTAGTGACAGGTGAGGACAAATGCAAAAAGATTGGACCAAAAATACCAGGATTTTGTACCTTAAAGTCCATTCAAAAGCTAGGAAACACTCAGGGCCCTTCCACACAGCCCTATATACCAGAATATCAAGGCAGAAAATCCCACAATATCTGCTTTGAACTGGGTTATCTGAGTCCACACTCAGATAATGTGGGATTTTCTGCCTTGATATTCTGGGATATAGGGCTGTGTGGAAGGGCCTTAAATGTCATTGGCAACTAATTGTAACATCTGGAGCACTCCAAGAGGTTCAGATTCAGCCTCACGGTCTACAGTTCCTTACCCCATTCTGATAATACATGAGTGGGGGGACCATCAGCCTGATTTGGCATAAGGTAGTTTCCAGGATTCCTACTTCACATGCACCAAAACTTTCATCTATTCAGTTGGTATACTTTTTACATAAACACAACAAAAACGCTCCTCCCATGCACACTCTTCTGCCATTTTGAATGTTTTGTTTGCATGTTTTCCTTCCCATTCCCTCTTTCCTTTCTTACCAGTAGTCAATGGCACACATGTTAGATGCAGGTTTGACCCTCAATTGCCTCAGCTCCAGTTCAAAATTCACTTATTTTGCATACCTTCTACTTACACAAGAACTCTCTAGAGCACTGCTTCTTGAAATATGGGTCCTGACCCCCTATGCGGTCCCCTTAGCTCAAAGTAGAGGTCCTGAAAAATCTGACAACAGTAAATGGGTTCTGAACATTGCCAAGTGGCTATTTCAGACATTGTGCTGTGTTTACAATGCTTCAGCTGTGTGTCATAAAAAGGAAAATCAGTCTGTTTAGCAAGCTTAACAAATGCTGATTGGTTATCAGTAAATGCTTGATTGTTAAATCCAGGGTCACGTCATAATTCCTCAGGCCAAAAGGGGTCACAAGTGGAAAAGTTGAAGAGGTCCTGCTATAGAGATGGTTAGGCCATCTTCCCACTCACTCCAGTGGAAACACTATGGTTGTGCGTGGTCTCTTTCAAAGTGCCTATCAAACTGTCACTCTTTGTGTGTGCAGTCCTTGACCCTACACATGTATATTTATTTATTTACAACATTTATATCCTGCCCTTCTCACCCCAAAGGGGACTCAGGGCAGCTTACGTAAGCGGCATTATTCCGTGCCCAAATGACAACAACAATTAAAAGCAATTAAACAACAATTTGAAACAACATTAAAACAACATATGTAAGCATTAGACGGCTATTGTGCATAGATCCAAAGCCAGATAATCAGATAATCATATTTATCAATCCAGGATCAATTCTAACTGTATTCCACAGATAATTATGCTGGGCCAAATGTTTGCTCCCAAAGCCAAGTTTTCACTTGTTTGCGAAATGACAGGTGGAAAGGGGCTGATCGAATCCTATTAGGGAGGGAGTCCCATAACTGAGGGGCCACCACTGGGAAGGCCTTGTCTCTCATCCCCACCAGTCGCGCCTGGTGCAACTGAGAGCAGGGCCTCCTCAGAAGATCTTAACCTCTGTGATGGTTCATAGACACAGACATACACAAAGAGCAGTATTACACACTCACCTTGCAGTTTCCGGCGGTGAAAACGTGGGGAGCCAAGGAAGCTGTTCTTGATGGAGTTGAGGCGAGTCTTCCAGGCCACGCCGGCCACGCCAGGACTGCTTGGGGGCGTCCCGCCGGGAGTGCCGCTGGGGCTCTCTTTGGGCGTGTGCACAGGGGTGCCGAGTGGAGTGGGGAGGGGGCTTCCCCGAGGGGAGGGGTGGGGGGTGACCTGCAGCACAGATTTGGGTGGGGGTTTAGTAGAGGGGAAAAAGCAACGGGGAGAGGAGGGCGGGTGGGGGGGCGGGGAGTTGGGGGGCAGGGGGAAAGGAGCGGAGCATCGGCTCTGCAGGGCCCGATCCCCTGCTGGGCTGCCCTTGGCTGGAAGCGTCTGAGTCTTCGCAGGGGCAGGGGGAGGCGAAGGGAGAGAGAAGCTGAAGATGGGGCTCTGGGTGTGAGGAGAAGTGGGGTGGGGGGAGAAAAAGGTGAGGAGGGGAGAGCCGTGAGATGGGGGTGAGTAATGGCAAGTGACAGTACCACAGTCTGGCCCCAAAGAAAGTCCTTCTGAGGAGCCAGAACTCAAGTTTGACCTCCTGTGACTGGCCTCATCTGCTTCACAAAGATTAACCTGCCCCATGGCAAACCTGCCCCAAACATCTAAATTGCCCAATGGCTGTTGGAAGTGAAGATGCATCAACACTTGTATATAGAGCAACGAGGGACAGAGGGGACCCTGTAATGTATGCCTGGTGTCTTGTTTTCACCTTTTCCCCAAATCTACTTAACGCAAAACGTTTTGCTTCCTGCCTGTAGAGGTTCCTTTCCCCCTTCTTTCCATGAGCCTTGAATGTGCTTTATTACCCTTTGTTTGGGAAGGGAACATCATGAGGTTTCTCTGCCTCAAGATGCCTTACACACAGACAAGACAGTCAGCATGAGGGACTATTCTACCAAGTTTGTCTATCTGAGATGTATTACTTACAACAGTAAAATTAAATTATTACCCATTTTGAACCTTACCAGAATATCCTGCATATGTTCTCCTTTGTTTCCTACCATAAGCTCATACATAGCACTGGCTATGCTGTACTCTATTCAGCTAGAGATACCAAATATCCCTACAATGGTATCTTGCTTCCCACTAACTGTACAGTTTAGCAAGTCTGGCACCCACTATCCTCAGTCTCTCAATCACTTTGATCTCTCTTTTCCACAAAAGGCGATGTTTCAGAATCAAGTACTTCCATAAGTACTTTTCAGCAGGGAATGTGCTCTTATAGCAGTAGCTCTCAACCTGTGGGTCCCCAGGTGTTTTGGCCTACAACTCCCATAATCCCAGCAAGTTTACCAGCTGGGATTTCTGGGAGTTGAAGGCCAAAACATCTGGGAACCCACAGGTTGAGAACCACTGTCTTATAGCAAAACAGTCCTAAACAGTTGGACTGCCCACTGCAAATCCTTCCCAAAAGTTTTCTTTCCCCTCTCTGCTCCTCACTCCCACTGTCATACATTCAGGCACTGGAGCCATTGCCAACATGGAGGTACCATACTGATACATAGCAATACTGGCTTATATTCTGCCTTTTTGGCCACTGCCTTGTGTCAGTAAACACCCTGCTCATTACTGCAAGTTTTGTAACTTTTGGACCACTCAAGTTCCTGCTTTACATATGAAATTTAGCAGCCCTTTAAGTACTTTGCTTTTAAAAAGCAGGATAAAATAGGAAGTGAATCCTCGAGCCTGAATGCCACTTCCAAGGGCTGCATAGTTGTTGAGTCAGAGTCCAACACTCAAATCCCGACATCATGCTGGCTTTCTCTTGAATGCTCCACGCCACGTGGACATTCAACAGGCCTCCCTTTTCCTTGATATGGAAATGCAACAATGGTGGTGAGGGTGTGGAAAGTGATCTGCCCTGCATCACTTGTCTGTCTCTCTTTCATGCAGTGGTGAAGAGGCATGACACTTCTGTCAGGAAACATCGTGGTGGTCTATTCTGGTCCTCCACCTTTCCCCTCCCAAAACTCGAACTAAGTGCAAGATGGAATGCAAATGAGGCTGCTGGGTCTATGGATATGTTTCCAGCCCCAACTCCTTCCAAGCCCACCCAGTTCCCTCCCTAGTGCCCCATATCTACTTTGCCTGTCCGTTACCAATTATGGCTGTCACCCCCGCCCCCCATTCGCCACAATGCTCTGATACTCACCCTGGGGCTACTGAGGGGACTAGACGATAAGCCAGTAGAGGCACCGCTCACAGACCGAGACCTATTTGTGATACAAAACAAAAAACATAGTGGGGGATTATTACAGTCTTAGGATGGAAGGTACAGATGGTGAGATTCTCAAAACACATTCAACACACTCAATCATATATGGTTTCCAGCACAAGCAACAGAGGCTGCCCAAATAAAAACTGATTAAATTGGTGCTGGATTTAAAATACTGCTGTCTGGGACATTATTTAATTGCTTCAGAATGATTTTTATTTCTTTTGTTGTTTTATTTGTGAGTTACATTGGGCCTATTTGTACCAAAAGATATCTCATAACTGTATGTTTGCATAAATAAAGCAATATACAAGCATACATGCCATTCCCATAACAGAAAGTGAGACAGGAAGATATTAAACACACAATGAGTCCTCCCAAATCAGGCAACTATATCTATCTGTCTGTCTGTCTGTCTGTCTATCTATCTATCTTTCCTAAAGATTCCTAGAGAGAACATTTGATCAAATCTGCAAATAAACAAGTCCTCAAAAGTCAAATCTACAGATAAGGAGGACAGACTGTACAAATGTTATTCCTATTACAGCCATCTGATGGCACCAGAATGTTAAAATATTGGGAATTCCCAGCTGCACTAAGATGGAAAAGCATCCACAAGTACCTGGCCCCTCCTAAATGTGTTCTATATAGTGGTGAACTTACCTCTGGCTATGTTGTGCCATCTCTATTGCCCTTCGGGCCGGGACTGGGGAGCCACCATCCGTGACACTCAAAACTTCCATGGACTTCCGCTCAGGTCGGCGCTTCCCATGTCGGTTCAGCATTGGTGAGTCAACTCGCTTCCGTGGTGGGTCTGAAAGAAATGAGAAAAAGGGCCCCCATTGTGATTAGTTTTGGAGTAAACTGTTGTAGCTCAGCTTTTGTGCCTGCACCTGATCTCTCTAGGGATTCTGAGACTGTTAGTATGTTGACACAAGGGATTCTGGGTCTGCAAATCATCAGGAAAGTCAGCAGGAGCAGCTAGAGATTTTAGGCCCTGAAAATGGGTGGTCTCTGTCTGTAGGCCACATTCCAATGGAACTGAGCTCAGAGGATGATAGTGGAAGTCCAGGTGGACATACTAATAAGCAGTTAGATAGCAGATTTATGTTTCATCAACATAAGGTTTCATGTGAGAAAGTCCGAAGGTCTAAATACTTTTAAGCAAGAAAGTCTTTATCAGTTTCCAAAGGGGAAAGTCATGATTTTCTGTCTATATTAGCTAGCCCAGCAGATGGGCTTGTTAGTCCAAGCAATGTTAGAGTTGAGTAAAGATCTATGGTCAAGTCAAGGGATTTCTAGTTCCATGTTCCATGTTTCATTTTGTTCATGTTTCATGATTCCTAGTTTTGAGGACTTTTCCTGAATTTTATGTTTTGGATTTATTCTGCTTTTGTATTCCTGGTTTTTGATGCTACTCTTGGTTTCTATACTATTTTGATGAATTGCTTTTCATATATATTCCTCAATCAACTGGTTTGCTATTTTACCTTGGACTGGAGTGTGTGTTAAGTACAAATGTGGTTCCCAGCCTTGGAGTGCAACATAAACCTACAGATGTTGCTGATTATGCAAAGATAATACTTAATCAAAGGAAAATAACAAAGCATTCAAATATTCTAATGACATGTATATATGTCTCATTGAAACTTTTCCATCACACCCTCTAGCATGTCACAGATGAAAACTGGAGCACATGTGGCCAAGTAACATCAGGTGAGGCCAGGATGGTAAAAATTATTAATGAGGAAGAACACACAAGTCAGGAAAGGCTGCAGCATTTTGCTTTTCCCCCTGAGTCTCCTGGGAAGGGCAAAATTTCATCATTTTCTCCTGAAAGCAAACAAAGGTTGCGAGGAGATAGGACAGAAACTGGGACATTTTAAAAGCAGCTTTAAAAATAGGATGGCAGTGGATTAATTGGGATTGTCCCTGCTAAATTGGGACAGTTAGAGTGCTTTGATTAGGTCAAAGGACAGAAGTGAGAGGAAAGAGGAATGACAAAGTTAAGTTATCATAACTATTACCAAAGACCACAGTCTATCACTGGTAATTCCTAATGCAACTGCCTTTTAGCACTGCAACGCCAATAGTGTCATCAGCTGCTTGTGGCCTCCCAAGCTTATTTTTGAGGCTCCTTACCAAACCTCATCTTCCCATTTTTGGCCAACATATATTATCTGCAAAATTTCTTGTATTAAAAGGCTCTCCCACACCCACAAGGAGGGATGCTTCTCTAGCTTCTGCCAGGCATTTTAAACACAGAAGATAGCTCCTGTCAACCAGAGTAAAAAGTTGTTTATTATCTCTCTTTATTATCTTTCCTTCACAAATAAGAGTTCAAGTATTCCAAAAACCTGTTTTATGGATTTCTTAACCAAACCAGATCCCTGAAATCTTCTGGGATTCCAGAGTAATGGCAAATGGGATTTCCAAAGACTCTTACCAACATCGTTGCGCGGAGGCAAGTCCTCATCCTCACAGCTAGGATACCGCTCCTTGCGATCCAACAGAAGGTAGTAGATCATTTTCTCCTGGTTTTCCCTTAAGTGGAAAAGGGGACATGGGCAAGGAAAAAGGACAAGATTAGGACTGTATTTTTCCCTGACATAGATTATTTTGTGTATTTTGACTACTTCATCATCCCATAGAATGAATTCACTTTAAATCCAGTTTCTCCCTTCTGCAGAATTCTGGGGTTTGTAGTTTAGTGAGGCTGTTAAAGTCTCTTCCCTAAACTACAAATTGTTTTTCCTTAGCTTCTCCTCCCAAGTATTTAAGCAACTCTGATTCTTTGGATTTCTTTCTTTCATCTTCACTTGCATCAAGGACACAATCTCTATCCTTTTTCTTCATCTGTGCTACAGACACTCCCAAAGAACCCAGGGAACTATAATTTTGAGACCACTATGTTTACAACAGCTTTCCCTGACCTGGTAGGGGATAATGGGAGTTGTAACCCACACATCTAGAGGGCTGCAACTTCTTCAAAGTTGTACAACTCTCAAATAGATGGCCATTAAAGTTTGTTTCAATATCAAAGGAACAAGAATAATAGGAATAAGGAAAACCCCACTTGTACTTTTCTTAATTGTGCTTATCATGATTTCTTATGGGCTAGCTGATGAAAACTGGCAGATAGCATATGTTCTGTATCTCAGCCAATAGAGAAAGCCAATAGAGCCAATAGAGAAAGCTGGTGCCATTATTGGAATCAGCAGGTGAAACATAACAGCTCTAACGTTTGAGACACAAAAATACTTGTTAGCCAATTCTATTTTAGTTTGAGCTTTTATGAATTATGATCTTCTCTAGATGCATTGAAGGAGTACAATATTCAAGACTCAAGTATGTATGCACAGTATTCATGGTTTTGAGTATATGATCAGAATGAAAAGGAATACAGGATTTGACACTTGGTCATTCAGGAAGTGGATTGTGATGCATGAAAAATGCTTAAATAAAGCTGCTAGTTTTGAAGCTCATCCACGAATACTTGGACTTTGAAGGTCTGATAAAATGAAGGCATTGCTTCTCTAAATCAAACTTGTTGTCCCTCCCCCCTCCACTCCATGAAAATTTTAAAATGAAGTCCCTTAATTTCTAGCATTGCAATCACTTAAAATGCCACTTGAGCAACAGAGTTTAGACATCCAAAGAAAAGAGGCAAGTAAAGTTACTAAGGAAATGAAGGCACGGCAAATAAAAGGATTCTTTCTAGGTGTGATTAAACTTGAGCTTAACCCTCCGGGTCAAATTATTAATAAAACATTGCTGGAGCCGTAGTGGAGAGACCCGCAGAGAGTGAGAGCCCAGAGTCCAGCTGATCGGTCCTTCGGATGATCAGAGGAGCAGAGGAACCCTGCAGCAGCTACCAAGTGTCCTGGATATAGTCCTGGATATGGGCTCTAGCACAGCTGGTAAATCACCAGCAGCAGTAAGATATTACCAACCACCAAAAGGTTGCCATTTCGAAGCTTGGGTCTGGGTGAGCACCTGACTGTCAGCCCAGCTTACTGTCCACCTAAGCAGTTCCAAAACAGCTTGAGAGCTGTAAGTAGAGAAATGAGGTACCGCTTAAAGCGGGGGAGGTATTTTACGGCACCATAAAAGGAAATACCAGAAATACCAGAAATGCTAGTGACCAAAAGGAGGAAGTCTGTAATGGTTCTTCGTCATAGAGGATGGAGTGACAGCACCCCCCGTGGCTAGAATCAAGCACAACCTCCAGGGAGCTGAACTTGGATGCCGACACAAGAAACCTCTGTCTGTATGTTTGTCCAGGCTGTTTCAACAACATTGAATCTTTGCTGTGTATGTGTTCTGTGATCCATCCTGAGTCCCCTTGGGGAGATAGGGTGGAATATAAATAAAGTATATTATTATTATTATTATTATTATTATTATTATTATTATTATTATTATTATCATCTTCCCCCTCTATTACAAAGTAACCCCTTCAATAAACGTACACTTACGTGTGTTACCCTTATATTTGATTCTTTGTATCCTTTTTGCCTTCTGTGTCTTTTTCTCTCCTTTTGCCTCTTGCAGCTGGCACTCATACACCCACAGCCCTCAAAGCAGGACTCCCTTCTCTCTTTTCCACAGAATATAATCACCTTTCACCCCAACTAACCTCGAGCCACTCCTCGCTTCCATTGATACCCCAGTGCCCCTGGTATCCACAGACACCCTTTGTGTGTAGTATGTATAATATTTATGTTTTGTAAACTTTTGGAGACCTGCAGCTACTGAAGCAAAATTCTGGTAACTTTTCACCAGCACCCTTGACCCTGGGAATTCCCTCCAGTGTTTTTTCTGGACATCACATCAACAATGGACTCAAGCACCCATCATCACTGGAATCAATCCATCTCTATTGATTCCCATAAAACTGACTGTACATGGGATCCATACACCAGGCTACCCACCCTTTGTGCAGCCACATGGACGCAAAAGGACACTAATCACCCAGGACTCTTCCAGTAAAGTACAGGAGGTACTGTCCTGGTTTTCCACAATTCCATTCCCCCTTTTCCCAAGAATGGATTATCAGATCCCATCACCTTCAACAATACTTTGCTGTGAGAAGCAATGGACACTAGTGCAGAGTCGCTAGAGTCATAAAGACAATCAGCAAGACAATAAAATCCATGGGACTAAATGGATCATCTTTGTTCATCCTGGAGTTGGGACACCATAATCCACTCATAGAATTATGCATCTCTTTGTCTGACTGGTCACCCTGCCCCCTGTCAGTCATTGGAGAGCAGAAATCTGCATTGGAAGCAGGGAATGCTTTCAGATTGGCTGGTGGGTACAGCAGTCCCGCCTCACAGAGGGAATCCTCCCAGTTGGTGTGATGTCAGAGACCAGCTCTGCCAATCAGAGTGCAGCTGGCTTCAGCTGGGCCATGAGCGGGACAATCAAAAGACTGAACAGTATAAAAACAAATGGTTTGCCTGTACCAAGCATGTCAGCTTCTTTGAGCGGCGTACCGCTGACTGGCATCCCTTCTGGACGGATTGAATAAAATACTTCAGTGGCTTCTGCTTCAACTGTTGAGATTTCTTTGATTGGGGAACATTGAGTTTTAGCTTTAAGTCTTGCCAAGCACAGACTCATAGCTGCCTAGCACCATGTCTCACTATCCGCTTGTCGGGTTTCGATATCGGTGTGCTGGGTCTCGCTACCCGTGGTCTGGATCTCATTATCCACAAATCACTCTAAATTGCTCGCTTTCATGAACAATTTTCAATCTCTCACTTTATGGAATGCCAGAAACCTGAGACCTTCTCAGTGATCTGTTTTTCCAGGTGCTTACCCATCGTTCTGCAGCTCCTGCTTCAGCTTGTTCTTGTCACGGAAGCAGCCCAGCGAATGCATGCTCTCAAGCACATCAGGATCGAGTTCGCTGACCGACTGGATCCGCCGGATTGCCACTTTCCGAGGAATGGGCTGCTCTGGCTCAGGTTCATTCTTACCTCCCCTATGAGAGAAAGTTCATTCAGCTGGTAAAAGCAAAGAAACTGCACTGATATCAATACTTAGATAGTGAAATGTGAAGCTATTTGGAAATCCATCGCCTTGCGCATAGCATGACATTGGGAGTAAGGCAACTAATATAAAATCTAGTCATGGGGCGAGGGCTGAATCCCACAACACTGTGGATTGTTCTCTTGATTCATCTATATAAATAAAAATGTAATGTTCGTTTGTGGGATTAACAGAACTCAAAAACCACTGGACGAATTGACACCAAATTTGGACACAAGACACCTAACAACCCAATGTTATGTCTTTCACTCAAAAAAAAATGATCTTGTCATTTGGGAGTTGTAGTTGCTGGGATTTATATTTCACCTACAATCAAAGAGCATTCTGAACCCCACTAACAATGGAATTGAACCAAACTTGGCACATAGTTCTCCCATGACCAACAGAAAATACTAGAAGGTTTGGTGGGCAGTGTCCTTTGGTTTTGGAGTTATAGTTCACCTACATCCAGAGATCACTGTGGACTCAAACAATGATGGATCCAGACCAAACTCTAGAAGAATACTCAATATGCCCAAATGTGAACACTTGTGGATTTTAGGGAAAATAGAATCTTGACATTTTGAAGTTGTAGTTGCTGGAATTTATAGTTCCCCTATAATCACAGAGCATTCTGAACCCCACCAACGATAGAATCGAGCCAAACCTCCCACACAGAACCCCCTACATAGCAATTAAAATCTTAGAAAACTACATCTCCTTCAGTTTCCATATTAATAGACATTATTTTTTGGTTAGTGGAGGGTGACTATATTGAGAAAAGTCCTTCCTCCAACTGCTCCCCATCTCATTTCAGCTGGAAGCGGTATCTAGAGGAGGATATGGATAAATTCTCCTAATGTAATTCTTGGGCAGATACAACAGAAGGGCTATATATATCGTGTCAGGAGCAAACCAAACAGTTGTACTGCATTTTTAAACAAACAAACAAACAAACAAACAAAACACAAAGTTTACAAGCTTGGTAATTGATTAAATGTCCTTTGACCAGTAGCTGGCCAATTGGAGTGCCTCTGGTGTTACTATAAGAAGGTCCTCCATTATGCATGTAGCAGGGCTCAGGTTGCATTGCCGCAGGTGGTCTGTAGTTTGCTCTTCTCCACATTCGTGGATTCCACTTTGTAGCCCCATTTCTTAAGGTTGGCTCTGCATCTCGTGGTGCCAGAGCGCAGTCTGTTCAGTACCTTCCAAGCCTCCCAGTTTTCTGTGTGCCCAGGGGGGAGTCTCTCGTTTGGTATCAGCCATTGATTGAGGTTCTGGGTTTTAGCCTGCCACTTTTGGACTCTTGCTTGCTGAGGTGTTCCTGCAATACTCTGTAGATCTTCGAAAACTATTTCTTGATTTAAGTCGTTGACGTGCTGGCTGATACCCAAACAGGGGATGAGAGGGAGATGTCACTGCCTTGGTCCTTTCACTATTGGCTGCTCCTTCCTGGCGGATGTTAGGTGGTGCAATACCGGCTAAACAGTGTAATTTCTCCAGTGGTGTAGGGTGCAGACTCCCCGTGATAATGCGGCATGTCTCATTAAGAGCCACATCCACTGTTTTAGCGTGGTGAGATGTGTTCCACACAGAAGGGCTGATCCACTAGGATTTTCTTCTTGCTTAAATGAATCTTGTGTTCCTCTTACTCAGCTCAATATGGTTACATAGTTGTTTCTGTTTCAGTGATTACTTTTTTAATCACTCTGATTCTCCACCACTACCATTTTATGTGTTCCAAGCTCTTCAGGTGTAACAGATTCTCATTAAACAGCCTTATCTCTCATCAGTGATAAGCAACAGCACTTCAAGGGGCTTGTGTAAAAGAAGGAACATTCCCACTAGCTGAAACTGGCCCAACAAGCTGGATGTTTTCGCATTCATGACTGAGAGGATGCCTATATGTATGTCTTCCTCTCTGCCTAAATACCTAAAGGCACTAGTTCCTATCTGATCATGGAAGCTAAGCCTGGTCAGCCTTGGTTAATATTCGGATGGGAGTTCATTCATGAGTACCAGGTGATGTAGGCTATATTTCAAGAGAAGGAACTGGCAAAACCACCTGAGAGTATTCCTTGCCTTTAAAAAAAACCCTATGCTATCTATAGGACTTCTGGTGGGTTTCCAGCAACTGTCATCCTGAAAAGTAACATTTCTATGGTCTGGTCAAACTGAGACAAGAAATGAAGCTGAGTATTAAAACAAGAAATTCTGGAGATACTCACAAGAACCACGGATGTTTCTGAATCTGTTCCAGCTAAAGTCACCACAAGGAAAAATAGAACAACATTAGACTCTTTTGTCTCCACCAGACTTCTGAAACATAGCCATATCATCACCATCATAATCACAATCAGCAATAACAAAAATGTGTTTTACTAGAAAATTGCCCTTATCTTCAGATATTCAATTATTTCAGCCAACTTATATTTTAAAATAGACTTGCTCTTTACACTAGAAGGAAAGGGGACAAGGAGGAGGAAAATATACTATAAGGAAACACAAACTGGAATTCCCTGAAAATCAGTCTATCTCACTCTACAGCTGGGTGATGGAAGGGATATGAGGTGACTACCTGGTGGTCATCCACACTTAAAGCAATGAGTGGTCAAGGGTCTACATTTTATAGAAGGTACAGGTAAATTTTATAGAAGGTATGGGCAAGATGGATGGATGGTATCCTTGGTGACTGGATTGACCTTGAAGGAGCTGGGGGTGGTGACAACTGACAGGGAGCTCTGGCGTGGACTGGTCCATGAAGTCACGAAGAGTCGGAAACAACTGAACGAATGAACAACAACATGGGCAAATTTTGGGTTGTTTTCTCTAAGGGAAAAGTGGCCAGGAGATACATGTATAAAAAACACTTGAGGAGACACTCCCTTGCTTCTGTTTTGTCACCTTCATCCATTCATCATCAATGTGTTCTCTTCTACACATCCAACCATGCTAGCATACACTTCATCACCCTTTTCCCATTCATTTGCTCTGTCTCCCTCTTAATGAAACATCAATAGACCCACACACATTCAAGGACACAAGCCCCTAACATGCCTTCCTTCCTCTCCTATGAGCTAGCTTGTCTTCTACTGGGGTCTTTGGCTTCTGTTATCCATCCAAGTAGACCACTAGCCATGCTGCTCTGACCTTCTGCTTGCCATCACTGACTTCGAACCGTCCAGTCTCCTCTACCATAATGAAAAATCAAGACTATAAAATGTATGCAGAATCCAACCACAGGAGATGACTTTGGGGAACATCACTTGTTCCACTGTTTGCAAAGCCAGGACAACTCACACTGAGCCGCTTCTCAGGCTCCACCTCGATCATGCCCCGCAGGAGGTTCTGACAATCAGGCGGGATGAAGTGAGGCATGTGGAAGATCCCACGTTTGACTTTTTCCAATAGCTGCCGTAGGTTGTCGTCGTCAAAGGGTAGGGCCCCCTGCAAGATGAAGAAGGAGAGGAACTCAGCAAAAATTAAAGTCCACTCAAAGACATTTAGGTATGCAAATCTGAAGTTCCAACTGTTGACATTTTGTACCTGATATTGAGCTGAGGACAAACCTTTCCCCTGGTCACCTTTAAGAATATTGTCTAGCCCTCTCCTCCCTCAGCTGTTTCCTATCTCCAAATCTTTGATTGCAACCTTTGAACCCTTCCAGACAGGCCCTATATCCCAGGTTTTCTGTTTATCCCAGAGTATCTGGCAGTGGGGACTCATATAATCCAGTTTAAAGCAGAAATTCTGGGATATAGGGCCTGTCTGGAAATGCCATTAGTTACAGTCTAACTAAAGCAAGGAAGTGGAAAGACTACAAATTTTTAAAAAAAACCTATTTCTTTTAGGAATGTCAAAGTTTTCCAATGCAATTCTATTGTCAACATACAGAATTAATAATAAATTTTTAGGAGAACCTAAAAATGCCAAGAGAAGTGTTCTCTCTAGGAATCTCTAGGTCTTCCAGCACAATTTATGGTGGAAGTTAAACATAGAGCCACACTGGAGGACCTAGAGGTTCTTAGAGAGAACACATTAATCAAATCCACAAGTAATTAAATCCACAAAAGTAAAACCCACAAATGTGGGTGGCCAACTGCAATAGTTTTAATGTATGGTCAAAGATTTTCGTGGCCGGAGTAACTAGGTTGCTGTGAGTTTTTGCAGGTTGTATGGCCATGTTCCGGAAGCATTTTCTCCTGACCTTTCACCCAGATCTATGGCAGGTATCCTTAGAGTATGTGAGGTATCCATATCTCATAACTTCTGAAGATGCCTGCCATAGACATGGGCGAAATGTCAGGAGAGAATGCTTCTGGAACACGGCCATACTGCCCAGAAAACTCACAGCAACCTTGTATTTTTTTTTCTTTTCAGGAGTGTCCATCCCTATCAGAAGAGAGTGCCAGACCTCAGGCAGCTCATTTATGGTCCAAAATAAATTACAAACATTTAATTTATAACAAACCCATATGTATGTCTTAGCAAAAAATAATAAGGGCATTTGTATGTTCTATCTCAGAAACCAGTAAAGCTTCCTTGAGAACTGGAAATCACAGAACAGAGGCTTAGAACCTCCTTGACAAAGCAAGTAGAGAGTGGTGCATATAGAGTCTGGTAAATAATGGGAAGGGGTCTTACCACCAGTAGGGCAAAGAGGATGACTCCACAACTCCACATGTCAGCTCGACGTCCATCATACTTTTCTCCCTAAGTAGCAAAGAGCAGGAGATTTGAGGGTTAATAGTTGGCAAGGGCAGGATAAGGTTGGGTTGGAATGGGAAGTATTGTTGGGAATGACAGACAAATATATATATAAGAGTTCAGGCCAGGAACCTTATTTATGTTAATACGATACAGAATAGTGGCTTCAAACTATAGGATAGGAGATTCCACCTGAACATGAAGAAGAATTTCCTAAGTCTGGGAGCTGTTCAGCAGTGGAACTCTCTGCCCCAGAGTGCAATGGAGGCTCCTTCTTTGGAGGCATTTAAACAGAGGCTGAATGGCCATCTGTCGGGGGTACTTTGAATGCAATTTTCCTGCTTCTTGGCAGTATGTTGGACTGGATGGCCCATGAGGTCTCTTCCAACTCGATGATTCTACAATAGCACTTTGAGGGTAGCAGATGGTGGGAGGAATTTATCTACCATTACTGAATGAAATTCAAATCTTGCCCCAGTTCATTGTTGCTTTATGTTATGACAATATCCCCAAACAAAACCTCTCAAGAGATCACAAGATTTTCTCTTTGGCCCCTTCTGCACTGTCATATCATCCAGATTATCAAATCAGATAATCCATGGTATCTGCTTTAAACTGGGTTATATGAGTCTACACTGCCATATAATCCAGTTCAAAGCAGATAATCTGGATTTTATATGGCAGTGTAGAAGGGGCCTTCCTTGTCCTCAAAATATGGGATCCTTCTGCAGAAAGTCAACCACTGAAACAGATTCAAAATAGGCCCCTTCTACATTGCCATACAAAATCCAGATTATCTGATTTGAACTTGAATATATGGCAGTGTAGACTCATATAATCCAGTTCAAAGCAGATAATGTGGATATTTTGCTTTGATATTCTGGATTATATGGCAGTGTAGAAGAGGCTTTAGTGGCTCTATCATGGAGAGTACTATGCATTAGGAGGGTGGACCCTTTTTCCTTTCCTGGTACCAAGATAGGGCTCTCCAGCGCCACGGCACTGAAGTACAACTTCCATCACTGACAGGATGAAAGTACTTGTAGCCTAACACATCTGGATGGCACATTAGAGGTCCAAGGCAGAATATGAAGGCAGATAATCCACAATATCTGCTTTTAACTGGGTTATCTGAGTCCACACTGCCATATAATCCAGTTCAAAGCAGATAATGTGGGATTTTAGACAGTGTTTGGAAGGGGGATAGGAGAAACTAGACTAAAATGTTAGATTTAATCTATTGAAAAGCAGGGGCAGGTATTCTGGAACCCTACAGAGCTTTTTTTGGACCACAGCTCTCATAATACCTGATCATTTATCATATGATGTTCGTAGGAGTTGCGGTCCAAAACAGCTGGAGGATATCAGATTACATACTTGGCATAATAGGTATTAGGGATGATAGGCAAACACATCACATCTGGATCTACATATAGCTATAGTATTTTTGCAAAAGAAAACTTAACATATGTGTCGTAGCTGAATGATCAATTAATCAATTAAATTTACAAAAACAGGCATATGAAAGAAGAAGGAAAAACAGTTGTAAAAGGAAAGAAAAGACTCTAGACCTGGTTTTTAATCATGATTGAAGTAGACCTGCTAAAATCAATGGTTCAAATTGCAACTAAATGAGGTCCCATCATTTTCAATTAGTCTATATCACACAACTTCTAGGCCATGCTGGACTCTAAGCCTGGATCTAACCTACTCTCTTTAGTAGTAAAGGTAAAGGTTTCCCCTTGACATTAAGTATAGTCGTGTCTGATTCTGGGGGGTGGTGCTCATCTCCATTTCGAAGCTAAAGAGCCGGCGTTGTCCGTAGACCTCCAAGGTGATGTGTCCTGTCACCTTTCCGCCAAAGTGGTATCTATTGATCTACTCACATTCACATGTTTTCAAACTGCAAGGTGGGCCTAAGCTGGGGCTAACAGCGGGAGCTCACCCCATCCCGTGGATTCAAACCGCCGACCTTCTGGTCAACAAGTTCAGCAACTCACAGCAGTTTAACCTACTGTGCCACCCTATGATAAGTTGACCTGCTAAAATCAATGGTTGCAATCAAAACTAAATTAGGTTCCATCAATTTCAATTTGTCTATATCATGCAACTTCTTTGAGGGCCAGACTGGACTCTATGTTAAATGGCTAAGCCTGGATCTAATTCACTTGTTTTTAAATTATGCATATCTGTGTCACACCTTGCCGTGTCCCTAAGAACTATTCACACGAAGTAAGTAACTCCTCTTTAAAAGATCACACAATGTCTCTATGTTTTGTAAGTAAATAAAGCAAAAAAAAAAATGGGCTGGATCTTGTCTAATGTAGCTATATAGACATACTGAAATGAACAGAAAATTAGCCTTTAATACTGGTATCAAAATGCAAGGAACGTAGCTTGAACTAAAGCCATTATTGTTGTAATCTGCTGAGCTATTAATCGGGGTCAATCATGCACTCAATCAGCAGCTTTTAATTATGTTAACAAAATAATCAATCTTCCTGTACGTGTCTATTCGGAAGTGATTCTCACAGAGTTCAATGGAATTTGTTCCCAAATAAATGGCACAAAACCTTAGGGTATTGTTTTCTAGATGCCATTTCTGAATATGTATATATTATACACAGCTATGTGTGTAGATATAATCCTTTATTTATATATTTTAACTGTTATTTGGAATTTTGTATTTAGGGATACACGGATAATAACTCACTCAACCTGGATTAATCTGGACCGTTCCAACAATTTCACTTAATACTTCTTTCTCAAATAAGTATTACATTTTCCCATTAGAGCTACTGATGGTTGGTTCCTTTGGACAACAGAAAAAGGGAAGGAGATACCAACAGGGATGAAGGAGGAATCCTTACCTTGATCACCTCAGGACATGCATAGTGAGGAGAACTGCAGCCCAGCATTGAGGGCAGAAGAGAAAGAGAAAGACAGAGAGACAGAGGAAGAATGAAACGCAGGAGAAAGCGCATCCTTAGGGCCATACCTTCCAACATTTCACAGAACCAGGAGACGCATGACCACCCAACATGAGAGCTCGATCAAGATGGGAGATGAACTGGGACTGTCCCTGCCAAACTGGGACCGTTGGACAGTATGCAGGGTATGTTCAACCAATATGTTATTTGCAGCCCAGCCAACCAAGAAAGGGTAATAGAGAAGAATCTGCCATTCCTCCCTGCCTCTGTGAGCCTGGCCAAACCACTGGACATGATAACTATCTCTGGGGAAGGGCCTGCATGTGAAGCAATGACCTGGACCACCACCACCACCATTCCTCCCAGTCCCCCATGGGACTGTGGTGCAATTGGCTGGGAGTCAGCTGCATTAAGATCATATTGACCAAAAGGTCATGAGTTCGAAGCCAGCCCGGGTCGGAGTGAGTGTCCGACCAATTTGTGTAGCTTGCTGTTGACCTTTGCAGCCCGAAAGACAGTTGCATCTGTCAAGTAGGAAATTTAAGTACTGCATACGCGGGGAGGCTAATTCAACTAATTTACGATGCCATAAAAATCTCCAGCAAGCCTGCAAAGAATGAGGAAGTACTTCACCAGTGTTACAAATGGACGGTGAAGCGACAGCTCCCCTGGTGGCCAGAATATCCACATGAAAAGTTGGAATGTTAAATTGCCTCTGTGTCTGTCTATATAAGTTGTGTGTCTATGGTATTGAACGGTTGCCATGCATATGTACATTGTAATCTGCCCTGAGTCCCCTGCAGGGTGAGAAGGGCGGAATATTAATACTGTAAATAAATAAATATGTTATTTGAAGCCCAGCCAACCAAGAAAGGGTTATAGAGAAGAATCTGCCATTTCTTCCTTCCTCTGCGAGCATGGCCAAACCACTGGACATGATAACTATCTCTGGGGAAGGGCCTACCTGTGAAGCAATGCACTGGACCACCACCACCATTCCTCCCAGTTCCCCACATTATTTATTATTACATATTTATTTATTGTATTTATACCCTGCACTTCTCACCCTTTAGGGCAGGTTCTCAACCTGTGAGTCCCCAGATGTTTTGGCCAACAACTCCCAGAAATCCCAGCCAGTTTACAAGCTGTTAGGATTTCTGGGAGTTGAAGGCCAAAACATCTGGGGACCCACAGGTTGGGAACCACTGCCTTAGGGTACTCAGAGCAGCTTGCATATATAGGCAGCAATTCGATGCCAACATGAACATACATCAAATAAAATAAAACATATACATTACAACCATTGTTAAAAACATATCAAGCATTAAAACACACTCCGATGCCATAATCTGAGGCCATTCCAATTTTCATTGTACTACATTCTCTTATTGCACTGTTACTGACAGAAAGTGTGGTCCCACATCCATGTCTTTAGCTTTTTCCTGAAGGTCAGGAGGGAGGGGGATGATCTGCTTTCACTTGGGAGGACATTACATAGGCAAGGGGCCACCACTGAGAAGACCCTGTCTTTCGTGCTCACCAACTGCATCTGCAAAGGAGGTGGGACTGAGAGCAGGGCCTCCCCAGATGATTTTAATCTCCTAGCTGGCTCATACAGAGAGATATGTTTGAACAGATAAACTAGGCCAGAAGCATTTAGGGCTTTATAGGCTAAAGCCAGCACTTTGAATTGTGCTCAATAGGAGACTGCTAGCCTGTGGAGCTGACGCAACAGGAGGGTTGTGTGCTCCCTGTACACTGCTTAGGTGAGCAGACTTACAGCAACCCATTGGACCACTTGAAGCTTCTGAACAGTCTTCAAAGGCAACCCCACATAGAGTGTGTTGTAGTAGTCTATTCTTGATGTAACAAGACCCTGGACCACCGTGGCCAAGTCTGGCTTTCCAAGGTACGGGCGCAACTGGAGCACAAGTTTTAATTGTGCAAAAACTCTCTGTAGTCCTTCATATTTGGGATCAGTGGAAACACCTGGTGACAGTTCACCTAGGAATGTAGATTGTGTTGTCTACATAAGCCCTACTATTAATGTAGAATGAATGCACTAGTATTCCCCAACCACGGCCCACACTTCCCGAGGGCTGAATAATACAATAAGATCACCAGCTCGGTTTTTGAAGCTTCATTATCTATTAAAGGCTTGGTGGTGGAACTTGTGGTGATGTTCCATTAAACAGAGAGAAGCAGTACACAACAATTCATAAGTAATACATAGAACTAAAGCAAACATACAAATATAGAGTACACACTCACAATAACCACAGCAGCACGTGTTTTTTTTTTGTCAAAATGGAACATACAGGTTGAAAACCCACGCAATACTTTTGTCAAGTGTTGTTTTTCTACTAGGCATCAGAGAGCATCCTTCAGTCATGTCACAATGGATGCCTCTACACTAAAGAATTAATGCAGTTTGGTATCACTTTAACTCCTATGGTTCAATGCTAGGGAATCATAGTCTCTAGATCTAGGGAAGTAATGCTACTCCTCTATTCCGCTTTGGTTAGACCACACCTGAAATATTGTGTCCAATTGTGGGCACCACAATTCAAGAGAGATATTGACAAGCTGGAATGTGTCCAGAGAAGGGCAACTAAAATGATCAAGGGTCTGGAGAACAAGCCATATAAGGAGTGGCTTAAGGAGCTGGGCATGTTTAGCCTGAGAAGGCTGAGAGGAGATATGATAGCCATGTATAAATATGTGAGAGGAAGCCATAGGGAGGAGGAAGCAAGCTTGTTTTCTACTTCCTTGGAGACTAGGGCACAGAGCAATGGCTTCAAACTACAAGAAAGGAGGTTCCATCTGAACATGAGGAAGAACTTCCTGACTGTGAGAGCCGTTCAGCAGTGGAACTCTCTGCCCCGGAGTGTGGTGGAGGCTCCTTCCTTGGAGGCTTTTAAACAGAGGCTGGATGGCCATCTGTCAAGGGTGATTTGAATGAAATGTTCCTGCTTCTTGGCAGGGGGTTGGACTGGATGGCCCATGAGGTCTCTTCCAACTCTTTGATTCTATGATTCTATGAGTCCTAGGACTTGGTTTTTGGTGAGACACCAGCTCTCTTTAATGGAGAAGACTAAAGAAAAATTACAACTCCCAAAATCTCATTAAGCCATGGCAATTAAAAAGGTATCAAACTGCATTAATTCCGCAATGTAGATTCACCCTGTGGCAGAAATGTCCCTTGTCTTTGAAAACTGTTTCTGAGCAGGGCTTACGTAAACAAGACAGTATTCCTAGATCAATTTTTAACAGGACTACAGTGTTCACTACATGATCGAAGTATTTATTTATTTATGTATTTACGACATTTCTGTGCTGCCTTTCTCACTCCGAAGGGGACTCAGAGCAGCTTACAGGTAATATGTAAATACAATATATTATATTATTACCATAGCACAATATTAGTATTATATATTACTATATTGTACTATACCATTATACTGTAATATTATTAGTAATATTACATGTAATATAAAAATATAATTATAATATCATATTATTAGTATTATATTGTATTATCAATATTATATGTATATACAATATATTATATTATTAGCACAGTAGCAGTGATTACTGGTTCATGTATCTTCCCGTACACACCAAAATATGTGAAGAAGTAACATACTATATCTCTCCCCTTAGTTTCCAAACATATATTCTCATTTTATGCCAGAGCAAATAGTGCAGTTCCAGAAGTGTCCTGTGGATCAGCCTGTGCCAGGATCAATGTGCTTCAGTCAGCATTTCTTTTTTCAGTGTGGCATATCACCCTCCTCATCAGCCTTTCACTGATGTTGACTCACCCACAACTTGTTTCCAGCAGGCTATCTCCGACCTGCAGGGAGGCCATGCCGAAATCTGCAATCCGGATGTTGTTCTTCTCATCCAGCAATAAATTTTCTGGTTTCAAGTCTCGGTGGCTGCAGAGATACACATAAAATGTAGAGAGAACAGTCAATGGGAAACGAAGTGCTTACACAAACAACAAAACTTGGAAATATTGCTTTGAATTCAGGAGTTTCTGAGTGGCTCTTGCCAATGGCTATAGTCCTTAAAAAGACCTTTTCCAGGGTCTCAAACACACGCACATACTTTTCCAGCTTGGCAGTCAGTAGGTGAACGCATATATCCTAGTAAAGGAAATGGCCTAAATATCCAAAAGGCATCAGATCCTATCTCATTGTGGGAGATAAGCAGAGTCAGCCCTAGTTAGTATTTGAATGGGAGACAATCAATGAATGCCAGGTACTGCAAACAATATTGTAAAGTAAGGAACTACCAAAACCACTTTGGAAGATGGTGTCATTATAACAGTGGTTCCCAATCTTTTTTGACCAGGGACTACTTTGACGAGGGACCACTCTCCAACATTAGTACCAAAAGGGTTAGGTAAAGGTAAAAGTTTTCCCGTGACATTAAGTCCAGTCGTGTCCGACTCTGGGGTGTGGTGCTCATCTCCATTTCTAAGCTGAAGAGCCGGCATTGTCCATAGACACCTCCAAGGTCATGTGGCCAGCATGGCTGCATGGAGCGCCATAACCAAAAGGGTTACAAATCAGTTTTTGGCCAACTTTAAATTCAGTTTGGTTATTTGGGGTGCTGATTCAAAAAACTGAATTGGATAGATCACATCAGCTCTAGTTTCTGATACAGAACATATGCTATCCAGTAGTCACCATCTGCTCACCCACAGAAAACCATATTTAATAATCTAGAGCCAATGTGGTAGTATTAATCATTTGTGGGTAGTGAGCCTCTCCCTTCCTGCCATCCCATTGCCTTGGCACTATAAGAGGGTTTCGTGAGACCAGTCACTCTTCTTGTTGTGTGGTTTTGAGACAATGGTGTAGTAATGGTGAGGTCTCAGACCATATTTTTGGTTCTTGAGGACCACTGGTGGTCCACGGACAACAGGTTGGGAACTGCTGAATTATAAGTTAAAATTGATTTAAAGGCACATAACATCACTAACTTGGGCAACTTACCATATAGAATAGCTGTGACAGAAGTCCAGTGCTGAAACAATTTGCCGGAAAAACTTCCTGGCTTCTTTGGGCGTGAGCCGTCCCTTCTTCACTAGGTAGTCAAAGAGCTCCCCTCCTGAGACATGTTCCAAAACCAAGTATCTAATGCAGAAGTCCACAGGTGATGGGACCAAGAAATAGGAAAAAAATGTAGGGGGGGGGGGGGAGGAAGTATTAAGAATCTATCACAATCAACTTTTTGAATGCATTCAGAGCAGAAGTAATTGAAAACCAGAGCACTAAATACAGATTCACTATTCAAAATATTTAAAAGTTGCTTTTGGGCAGGATGCAGTACAGATATTAGTCCAAAATACAGAAGACGTTGAACTATTTTTAACATGACAATATAGCCAGCCTTCCACTTGCACTAAGGTTAGGGGCATAGGACCCAAGCAAAAGTGGGAACTGGCAAATTAAATAAAAAAGACTACGAGAGAACACCACTAGGAACAGGGGCGGCTCAACCCATTACGCAAAGTAAGCATTTGCAGTATAGTTGATTTTGCTCAGGGGCACTCTTGAGGGGCTCTTGGGGGAAAATAGACCTTGACATATGCGAGTTGTAGTTACTGGGATGTATAGTTCACCTACAATCAAAGAGCATTCCGAACTCCGCCAATGATGGAATTGAACCAAATATGGCACACAGAACTCCCATGACGAACAGAAACTATATATCAGTGATTGGTTGGGGGGTGGGGGTGGGAATAATGCTTGTTTACCGTTGAAAATTACCTAGGGCCGCCTCTGACTAGGAATCTCTAGGTCAGGCATGGGCAAACGACAGAGTGCTCTCGAAGGCTTTCATGGCCAGAATCACTTGTTTGCAGTGAGTTTTCCAGGCTGTATGGCCATGTTGTAGGAGCATTCTCTACTGACGTTTCACCCACATCTATGGCAGGCATCCTCAGAGGTTGTAAGTTCTATTGGAAACTGAAGGTCCAGGGTGGGAGAAAGAACTTTAACAGACAACATCTGAGGATGTCTGCCATAGATGTGGGCAAAACATCAGGAGAGAATGCTTCTGGAACATGGCCATACCTCCCGGAAGACCCACCGCAACCCATTGACCATGGAATTGAAACAGAAGGCTCAGAAATTCTTAAACACTGTTTTCCAGGTAAAAAAAAGCGGAGCATGGAGTAACAGTGAGGCACCTAGAGATTTCGAGGGAGAACATTTTAATGAAATACCCAAATCTGCAATAAGCATACCCATGAAGGTGCATTTCAGTGCAGAGTTTGAAAAAAAAATCACTTTGTGGCAAATAATTGCAAATGTGTATATTTTTCTCAGGGTTAGGTAAAAAGGTAAAGATTTTCCCCTGACATTAAGTCCAGTCGTGTCCGACTCTGGGGGTTGGTGCTCCTCTCCATTTCTAAGTCGAAGTGCCAGCATTGTACGTAGATGCCTCCAAGGTCATGTAGCCGGTATGACTGCATGGAGTTATGTTACCTTCCCGCCAGAGCAGTACCTATTGATCTACCCATATTTGCATGCTTTTGAATTGCTAGGTTGACATTGAAGGAGCTGGGGGGGGGGGGGATGGCCGACAGGGAGCTCTGGTGTGGGCTGTTCCATGAGGTCATGAAGAATCAGAAGTGACTGAACGAATAACGAATGAACAACAAGGTTGGCAGAATCTGGAGCTAACAGTGGGAGCTCACACCACCCCCCAAATTTGAACCTGCAACCTTTTGATCAGCAAGTTCAGCAGCTCAGCGGTTTAACTCACTGTGCTACTGGGGGAGGTTTAACTATGCACCACAAGTTTGCCACACTGAAAATGGTATCTTATTTAGAAGAGGGAATGTCAGAGGTATTTCATATCATCCAACCAGAAAACAGCACTTGGTGAAATTTCCTTTGATACAACTATTAAAGGTGACAGAACACTCCCGTTTTCAATCTGGCAACCCTAAGGGAGGATAACTTTATTACGGTCCATGGACCCACAACTATCTGGCAACCCTAAGTGTGTGTATATACAGACAGACAGATAGACACATACATACATATACAGGCAGATCCCAAGTTACAAACGAGATAGGTTCTGTAGGTCTGTTGTTAAGTTAAATTCTTATGTAAGTCAGAACACGTACATATTTAAAGTGTAATTCCAGCCAAATATATAATATACTAGCCATCCCCTGCCACACGTTGCTGTGGCCCAGTCTGTGTATATGTGTTTTGTGTGTGTATATATGTGTGTGTGTGTGTGTTTTTGTGTATACATGTATATGTGTGTTTGCATATATGTGTGTGTGTAGTTTTGTGCATGTGTTGTAATGTATTTGGGGGGGGGGGGTTAAGTCTCTTCCGCTGTGTTTTTCAGTGTTTTTATGAGTGATGGTCACTTGTTGGCCTTATAGCTTTATTTTGTCCAAATTTTGTGTCAATTTGTCCAGTGGTTTTTGAGTTATGTTAATCCCACAAACAAACATTACATTTTTATTTATATAGATTAGTTTTGGATAGCATAGGGAAAGGTTAACACCCCTGTTGTGTTTGTTTTGCTGTCTGTGCCCGTTTGGAAGATTCCCCCCTGACTATATGTCCCTGTGATAATTGGATTTTGAAAAATATTGTTGGTGGGGACACAAGGACATGTGATAAAGCTTCAGTGGAGACACCTTTCCCCCATGATAATTCTTTCAGGAACGAATTTCTCTTCCAAGGGGTAGTTAATATCTCTCACTTCCTTTTGTCTCATCCCTGTTCTTAACTATAAGTAATTTGTAAGCCAACTCAAGGACTGCCTGTATGTACATACATGTATATGACACATATGTATGCATACGTAAGTTTTGTTTAAATATTTCTGCAGGGCTGCCTCCTCTGCCCAGTTTCTTTGTCTCTCTCCACTCCTCCTCCCATTGTGTCACCAGAGGAGGGTGACAATGAGAGCTTATGTGTGGGGATTGCCAGTTGTCTGGCACCGCCTGGTATTCTGGGTGGCTTTTTCTCTTTCTCTCTCTCTCTCACACACAAACACACACGCACGTTCACAGAAGCCAAGCTGCTCCATCAGCTTTCTGACACAGAGAAACACAGATAACTTCTACCTAGGAAACCGCCATTCTGCACCAGGAATTTCAAAAACAGATGGGATCTTCAGATTTTATTTTTTTTTATTTCAAAGATCTTGTCCCTCTGCTTTCCAACAGACTCACAGGCTGAAACTAAGCTTCTACTTCAGCATACTATTCTCCCCGCAAAGGAAAGTTTTAGCTGTATGCACCTGTCATTCTGTATCAAGTGAAAAGTCAAAAGCAAAGAAAATTGTTGGTTTGCTCAGTGTGTCCATCATGAAACTTGGGAAAGGAGGCTAATGGAAGAAAGGGAACATGATAATGACCGTGGACCAGGGAAATCATGCAACCCTTCTAGTCCGCCTTGGTCAGACCACACCTGGAATACTGCATCCAATTCTGGGCACCACAATGGAAGGGAGATGTTGACAAGCTGGAATGTGTCCAGAGGAGGGCGATTCTATGACCCTATGATTCTATGATTCAATGTTTTGAAGGTGAAGTTCAGCACTCTAGACAACTCCTATAAAGTTTCAGCTAAAATTTAGAATGATTTTGCCATCCTTATTAAATTAGGAGATTCCATTGAACACTAGGAAAAACTTCCTGACTGTGAGAACTGTTCAGCAGTGGAACTCTCTGCCATGGAGCATGGTGGAGGCTCCTTTTTTGAAGGGTTTTAAGCTGATGCTGGATGGCCATCTGTCAGGGGTGCTTTGAATGTGATTTTCCTGCTTCTTTGCAGTGGGTTGGATCAGATGGCCCATGTAGTCTCTTCCCACTCAATGAATCTATGATTCTATGAGGGTACATCTGCACTGCAGAATTAATGTAGTTTGGCATCTCTTTAATGGTCACGGTGCAATGCTATGGAATCATCGGAGGGTAACAATGGTGGCATAATGGGTTAAACCCTTGTGATGCCAGGATTGCTGACCAAAAAGTTGGAGGTTCGAATCTGGGAAATGGAGTGAGCTCCCATCTGTCAGCTCCAGCTTCTTATGTGGGGACATGAGAGAAGCCTCTCACAGGATGGTAAAACATCTGGGTGTCTCCTGAGCAATGTCTTTGCAGACGGCCAATTTTCTCACACAAGAAGCGACTTGCAGTTTCTCAAGTCGCTCCTGACATGAAAAAAAAAAGAACTTGTAGTTTGGTGAGGCACCAGCACTCTTTGGCAAAGAAGGCTAAAGACCTCATGAAACAACAACTCTCACAAGTCCATAGCATTTAGCCATGGCTATTAAAGTGGTGTCAAACTTCATTAATTCTAGAGTGTTGATGCACCCAGACAATGAATTTGTTCAGTTACTAAGCAGAACAGTGAAGCTAGCTTTTTCATATGAGAGGGCTATGTTGAACCAGACCAAAGGTCTTCCTAGTCCTATGTTTTGTTCTAAGAGCAGAGAAGGAGCCTCTGGGAACCTCAATTGGAGAATCTGAGCACCCTCTCACTTACCCTTCCAGAAACTGGTTCAGGTTATGTATTCCTTATCTGGGACCAGAACCGTTTTGGATTTTGGAATCTCTATCCATAATGTAATTTCTTGCAAATGGGACCCAGGTTTCTGTGTGTGTGCGTGTCAGGAGCAACTTGAGAAACTGCAAGTCGCTTCTGGTGTGAGAAAATTAGCTGTCCTCAAGGATGTTGCCCAGGCAATGCCTGGATGTTTTACATTCCTGTGGGAGGCTACTCTCATGTCCCTGCATGAGAAGCTGGAGCTGACAGGCAGCAGCTCAGCACACTCCCTGGATTCAAACTACCAATCTTTTGGTTAGCAGTTCAGCCGGCATAAGGGTTTAGCCAATTGTGCCACCCATGGGACACAGGTCTCAACATGGAATTTATTTATGTGTCATATACATCTTATGCACATAAATAGACTGAAGGCAATTTTATACAACATGTTTAATAATTTTGTGCATCAAACAAAATGTGTGTACACTGAACTACCAAAAAGCAAAGGAGGCACTATCTCAATTACCCCATGTGAATGATTTTGGGGTATTTTTGGATTTCGGATAAAGGCTGCACAACCCTGACAGAGACTCATGCTGCCTCTGGTTAGCTTCATCAGAATTGTAGTATGACCTCATTCCATAACCACACACTCCCTGCTGCTATTATTTATCACACTCGTATCCTAACATGCCTTCGGGATACTACATGTGGCCTGGCTCATATCACAAATAGGCCTATAGCCAGAAATATAGTAATGAGGGGGTCAGGAATTACTATAAACATCCAGAGCATATATATAAATAGTCTAGTATATTTAAAATAACTTCATTGTACAGAACTGCTATCTCATGAATCAAATAATATAGTAAGTTAAGCATGTGTTGTTGAAGGCTTTCATGGCCGGAATCACTGGGCTATTATGAGTTTTCTGGGCTGTATGGCCATGTTCCGGAAGCATTCTTTCCTGATGTAGATGTAGGCAAAACGTCAGGAGAGAATGCTTCTGGAACATAGCCATGTAACCCGGAAAACTCACAGCAACCTAAGTTAAGCATGCCATTTCAAAAAACGAGTAAAGTCCTTTAAACACAATTTAACAAAAAAGAACAATAGAAGTAGAAGAAAACTAACTGAGAATAAGTTGCAGCAAGAATTGGAAGAGTTATTTGCCCACTTTTCTTCCACTCAGTGTTTTCTAACCCCCCCTAGTGTTCCAAATAATCCTAATTAATTCTTGGTTGTCCCACTTTTTCCAGTTCTTTTTAAATGTCCTAATTTCTCTCTTCTTCTCCTGCTTTCCCCCTTTGCTGACTACTACTGTGTATCCTCAGAAGAAAAATAGTAAGATACACTATGGGTTTTTTTTTCATGTCAAGAGCAACTTGAGAAACTGCATGTCGCTTCTGGTGTGAGAGAATTGGCAGTCTGCAAGGAAGTGTCACCCAGGGGACGCCTGGATGTTTGATATTTTACCATCCTTGTGGGAGGCTTCTCTCATGTCCCTGCATGGGGAGCTGGAGCTGACAGAGGGAGCTCAACCCACTCTCCCTGGATTCGAATAGCTGACTTGTTGGTCAGTAGTCCTGCCGGTAGAAGAGTTTAACCCAGCATTTCTGAATCTGGGGGTCGGAACCCCTGGAGTGGGTCACGAGGGAGGTGTCAGAGGGGTCTCCAAAGACCATCAAAAAACACAGTATTTTCTGTTGCTCATAGAGGTTCTGTGTGGAAAGTTTGGCCCAGTTTCATTGTTGGTGGGGTTCAGAAGGCTCTTTGATTGTAGGCGAACTTTGAATCCCAGCAACTACAACTCCCAAATATCAAGGTCTATTTTCCCCAAACTCCCCAAATGTGGTGTTCACATTTGGGCATATTGAGGATTCGTGCCAAGTTTGGTCCAGATCCATCATTGTTTGAGTCCTCAGCGCTCTCTGGATGTAGGTGAACTACAACTCCAAAACTCAAGGTCAATGCCCACCAAATCCAACATTTTCTCTTGGTCATGGGAAGTCTATATGGGAAGTTTGGTTCAGTTACATCATTGGTGGAGTTCAGAATGCTCTTTGATTGTAGGTGAACTATAAATCCCAGCAACTACAACTCTCAAATGACAAAATCAATCCCCCCATCCCCACCAGTATTAAAATTTTGGCGTATCTGATGTTTATGCCAAATTTGGTCCAGTGAATGAAAATACATCCTGCATATCAGATATTTATATTATGATTCATAACAGTAGCAAAATTACAGTTATGAAGTAGCAACAAAAATACTTTCATGGTTGGGGCTCACCACAACATGAGGAACTGTATTAAGGGGTTGCAGCATTAGGACCGCTGAGAACCACTGATTTAACCCATTGCACCACCGGGGGCGGAGGCTCCAGCCCTAATCTAGTGCCAGACCTTGTTGCTTGATCAGCACACAGATTTACTACAAGTGCTCCTAAATCTGTTTTTTCTTTCTTTCAAAAATGCTAATTATGTATCTACAGTTTACATTTTCTCCCATGAAAAATAGCTTGTGGAAAGCTGAATACTTAGGAAGATTAGTTATCCCTCCATCACCAGAAATAATAGCCAACAGAAAGCCCCCAAACCTGCCCTGGCACGGAAACCTTCAGTTGGCAGGAAAACCAAGGAGGAGAGAATTCCCTTGGTTGCTACGAGCTGTGGTGACCACATGTTGTAGGAAGCACAACTCTATTTTGATGGGGAAGGTTTGTGAGGAAGGAAAAGGAGCTACAAGACCATCCGCAAATAAATAAATACCTACAAATATTTTTTGTTCTCGTAGACGTCGTGGAGTTTCAGCACATGTGGATGTTCAATCAACTTCAGAATGGCAATTTCCCGTTCCACCTAGAATCAGCGAGGCAGAAAGAAAGAAAGAAAGAAAGAAAGAAAGAAAGAAAGAAAGAAAGAAAGAAAGAAAGAAAAGTTAATTGTTTACATCATCCTTCCTCTACATTCTTGATCTGTGGGACTTAGGGTTGTGAGATTTCAGAGCTCGGTTCTTAACATACATTTTTTGTGAGTCCTATCCAATAGAGAGACAAGAATGCATATTCACCACTTTTTAGTAGACTCAGCTCCTGGTAAGAAGAAAGGGCTATGTGAAAAACTAATACAGTTTGCAAGGCTTAATGGATTTGTTGCTGCAACTTGCAAAGACTTTTCAGTCAGGTCTATGTATTTACTTAGGCCCCTTCTACACTGCATATAATTCAGATAATCAAAACAGATAATCTACATTATCTGCTCTGAACTGGATTATATGAGTCTGCACTGCCATATAATCCAGTTCAAAGCAGACAATCTGGATTTTACATGGCAGCATAGAAGGTGCCTTAGTAAGCATTGTCCTGTAGGAAATAGCAACCTTCTACAAACCTCCTATACTCGTTATTTGTTATGTATAGAATTCAGATTGCTTACTATATTGTATGTGCATTTTGACATGCAGTTTTTGCCTTAATTCTATGTTGTCTGAGATTGTGGGAGGGACTACAGACCATGTGACTAGATCTGGGACTATGCAGACTGAGACTCCATTTTAGAAATCATGTTTGCATCAGAAGCAGTACAGTTTAAGAGTAAGGTCAGTGTCAGTATGCTGAAGTGCATAGTCAGTCTGTATTGAGTCAATGTTCAGAAATGTATTCGACTGAAGAGAGTGTTAGTCTGTATGCAAAAAAGAAGAGACTAAAACAGAGATAACAGATTGTTTAAACTCGCAACCAATAAGAAATGCACCTGCATGCTGAATAGATGAAGTTTGTAAGTGAATCAGCTATATTACTTTTAATGAAGACTACATATAGGCAACGCAGTAGTGTCTCTCACTTGCTGCGCAAATGTAATTCTAACCCGTGTTGCACAACCAGCATTGGGATCCAGCTGTCATACTTTTGCCTTTTTGGGCAACTGAAATAACACTTCCGAAAATCTTCTATTTCGTGCATTGGCATATCTTTGTTCCTAACTGTTCAGAGAGATAACCAGGCATATCAGTCTAACAACAGAGAAACCTAATTTGCCTTGGATGCATACAGGTGGATATTTACCACTAAGGAGAAGATTCACTCAAACAGTTATTTAACTCTTCTCAGGAAGATCATACTTTACAAAAGATAATGATTATTCCAAATACTGTGAATGCCAATTAATCTCCAAAAAGGTCAAGCTTCCAAAAGGCTATGGAGATTCCTGGTTTTCCAAAAGGTTATGATCTCTTTTTTTAAAAAGTTAATGCCTTTCCAGAAATGTCCTTCTCTCGCAATCATTGTGGCACTAAGGTTCACCCTCTGCTCTGCATCCACTGACTATTTTTCCTATTTCTTCTGCATAAATTAGGGAAAAATAATCCCATTATTATTTTGATCTAGAATCAGACCCTCTAATTAAGGTTCTGTTTTAATTTACAAACTGGAAAATATTATCTGTGTGAATACATCACTGGAGGCTTTGGCCTGGAAACCTCATGGCCGCCCTTCGATGACCCTGAACATGCCACTCTAATTGGACTACAATGGCCAACACTGGGAAAAGTTGATTTGCCTTCCAGCATTGTCTGACTTCTGAGGCCAAGAGAAGGAGGTGGTTTTCATGTCAAAGAGATAACTTGTTTCAGGGTCTTTTGTATCCTAGCATCTAGACAAGATGAAGTGCTTCCTGGGTTATCCTTGAAAGAAATTATGATTGAAATGATTATAAACTGCTTGAAGTGGGTTTCTAAACAGACTGCCATAACCATCAATCATTGATATGTAACAGCTGGATTGGAAAGTGAAGAGATGCGTCTGCTTGGTTTCTTGAAAAGTGAGAATATTTGTGGAAGAACCTGACCAGACAAATGGGAACGGGAAACTCCCATCAACCCTCACTATTGCATATGTGATCTAGCACTGATGGAGTTACAATCCAACTTTAGAGAAGCACACATTTCTCTCTACTTGGATTAAAATTAGGAAAGTTGAACTACTTCTCTAAGAATCTCACAGGCAACATAGGGTGTTAGGGAGCTGTAGGGACACTCCAATAACTGACCAGGTATTAGGGTACCACAAGGTTTAAAATAACTCCCTAAAGATTAGGTTGCTGTGAGTTTTGCGGGCTGTATGGCCATGTTCCAGAAGCATTCTCTCCTGATGTTTTACCCACATCTATGGCAGGCATCTTCAGAGGTTGTGAGCCCTGTTGGAGAGTAGGTTTATATATCTGTGAAATGTCCAGGATGGGGGAAAGAACTCTTCTCTGCTTGAAGCAAGTATGAATGTTGCAGTTGATTAGCATTTAATGGCCTTGTAGCTTCAAAGTCTGGCTGATAGATGTCTGGGGATCCCTTCTTGGGAGGTGTTAGCTGGCCCTGATTGATTCTTGTCTGGAATGCCCCTGTTTTTTGAGTCTTGCTCTTTATTTACTGTCCTGATTTTAGAATTTTTTTTAATACAGGTAGCCAGATTTTGTTCATTTTCATGGTTTCCTCCTTTCTGTTGAAATTGTCCACATGCTTGTATGGTAGTTGTTAGACATGCTGACATGGTAGTTGTTAGAGTAGTCCAGTATTTCTGTGTTCTCAGATAATATGCTGTGTCCAGTTTGGTACATCAGGTGCTTTGCTATGGTTGATTTCTCTGGCTGAATTGGTCCTAGATTCAGGTCTGAACAAGGCTGCATTTGGTGGTCCCTATGTAGACTTGTCCACAGCTACATGGTAGACACCCGCAGAGGTGAGATAATCCCTTTTGTCCTTTGCTGAAAGTAGCATTTGTTGGAGATTCTTAGTGGATCTGTGTCTGCCATAGATGTGGGCGAAACACCAGGAACAGCATTTCTCAACCAGGGGATCGAGTCCTTTGGTGGGGGAGTGGCAAGGGGGTGTCAAAAGGGTAACCAAAGACCATCAAAAACATAGTATTTTCTGTTGGTCATGGGGGTTCTGTGTGGGAAGTTTGGCCCAATTATATCGTTGGTGGGGTTCAGGATGCTCTTTGATTGTAGGTGAACTATAAATCCCAGCAACTACAACTCCCAAATGTCAAGGTCTGTTTTCCCCAAACTCCACCAGTATTCACATTTGGGCATATTGACTATCCGTGCCAAGTTTGGTCCAGATCCATCACTGTTTGAGTCCACAGTACACTCTGGGTGTAGGTGAACTACAACTCCTAAAAGAATTGTACACCTTGTGTGTCTGTGGAGCAGAACAGACAACTCCGCATCTGTATGCTTGTCCACTGTGCCCTGCCTCATGTACAGAGGAAGAGTTGTTGGAAGCTACAGACAATGCCATTGCTGTTGCCCGTTTTTGGTCAAATGATATTTAGCTGCCCTTGCTCTTTTTATTTTTTTCAGTTTTATAATAATTTATGCAATGCTTTTGCTACAAAATAAATAAACTCCAAAACTCAAGGTCAATGCCTACCAAACCCTTCAAGTATTTTTTGTTGTCACGGGAGTTCTGTGTGCCAAGTTTGGTTCAATTCCATCATTGGTGGAGTTCGGAATGCTTTTTTATTGTAAGTGAACTATAAACCCCAGTAACTACAACTCCCAAATGACAAAATCAATCTGCCCCCAACCCCACCAGAATTCAAATGTGGGTGCATTGGGTATTTGTGCCAAATTTGGTCCAGTGAATGAAAATACATCCTGCATAAGCAGATATTAACATTACGATTCATAACAATAGGAACATTACAGTTATGAAATAGCAATGAAAATAATGTTATGGTTGGGGGTCACCACAACATGAGGAGCTGTACAAAGGAGTTGCAGCATTAGGAAGGTTGAGAAAGTCAGGAGAGAATGGTTCTGGAACATGGCCATATAACCCGGAAAACTCACAGCAACCCAGTGATTCTGGCCGTGAAAGCCTTCGACAACGCATCCCTAAAGATTGCTACTCTTCTTCAAATGGCTTTTTCATCCAGAGGTATGAGAGTTCATGATCTTCTTGGTCTTAGAAGTCAGTTGATGCTGGAGGGAATGCTCTATTGAGGGATGAAAACACTTGCAGGCCTGCTGATTTCTCTTTTGTCTGACAAGACATTGCCATCTGTCTCGCTCTGGGCCTCCAGTTCTTGGCTACTTGCTTGCTGCCAGCCAGTTCCTAGTCTGTCTGCCTCCAGATATCAGTCTGACTCGGTGTACCTGCTGGGGTTGTGACTAATATTGACAAACGAAGCCCACCTTGTTTTGTCAACAGCAATCCCAAAATGGTTTCTGCCACTAAACATGATTTCGTTTTGGTCTTAACCACAAGCCTTAGGTAAGAGCCAGCAGAGAAGCACCTTCTTCACTGTTCATTTGAAAACGTCATGCTCTCTTTATCAGGTGGATTGGCAAAGGGACAGTTATTATGTGTTATAGCCACCGTAGCAAACTTGCACAAAATTGCTCCACATTATGGCTATTATCCCATGGGCTACAGAGGGTCTCATCATTCAGCAGGAAGGATTTTTTTTCTCTACATCAGCACAAAGTACTCAAAAGAAAAAAAAAATGCTCTGGTCTGATGCGGAAACACTCCAACAGAGCCATTCTGCACAGCATGATGACCAGTACCATGTGGAGTGAGCCAAGGGCCTGAAATACAGATGAGGTCTGGCAATGTCATTTACTTGCTCCAGCCAGTTAAGCCTTAGCCTAAGCGTAGCAGAAGCCAATGGGTCAGAAATGGTGTGGACGATTTGGATTATTAGGTATCTGGCAAAACAAATCAGTAGGCCAAGAACACAGGAATTTTACACCTTCATTACTGCATCTACTTATTTATTATTATTTATTTATTTACAACATTTCTACCCCGCCCTTCTCAACCCCCAAAGGGGGACTCAGAGCGGCTAACACTGGCAACAATTCAATGCCGCAACATCACAATATAACAACAATATAAAACCATAAACACACAATAGATTAAAAACAATAACATTAATTATACAGTCATACTTTGTTTTGTGGTTCTTTTTTTAATATTTTGTTTTGTGGTTCTATCATTCGTTTTGGATAAGTAATTCAGATGATAATTTTGCTTTATAAAACATCTTTTCGTAACCCATTTACTTCAAGAACTTTTTAAAAAACAGTACGAGACTTTTAGCAGCTTAATTTCACATTTCCTTCTTTAAGCTTGTCAATTTCTGGATTTGGTGGGAGCCTGAATATATTTTGTACACTTTTCCTGCGGCGATGAGCCTGCTGACAATTTCTTTCTGGCTACAGATACTGACTGTAAATTGGTCTGGCACTCGCTAATAAGTTTTCTTTACTTCTAAATCAACCCGTTTTGACCTTTCTGTAGGAATGAAGGTGACGGCTAGAGATTGGATCTATAGAGAGCAAGGCATGCATTTTCTGCCTCTCTCTGGATTGTAGATTCAGCTCCATGCGTTTTCAATCATTCTCCGTGGCGCCTTCCCCAATACCCCAAAAGATACACACTCACCTTCATCAGTACTGACTCAGAAAGCTTTTCCCGGTTCACAATCTTAATTGCGACTTTCTGCCCTGTGATGCAGTGCACGCCCAGCTTCACCAGACCTAAAGAAAGAAGAAAAGATGTAAAAATCCACCATTGTGCTATAAACCATTAGAATGTGAAGTGGATTAAACATCATTAAACATCATGTAAGTCTGGGCGGTTCCAGACAAGACTTAAATGCGCGCCCAATTGTGTTTTAAAAACCCGATTGGGCCTGCATTAGAGGCCACACACATCCCAGAAAGCATCCGGACACAAAAGAAAACCACCCAGAAAAGCCTTAAAAAGAAAAAAATAACTTACCCAACCACCATTTCCCTGCTACCGGCTCTCTCCTGGCACGTAGAAATTACTAGCCAGAAGGGGGCCAGGAGTGATTTTCCTCCTCTCCTGCTTCTCCTGGCATGTCATTTCTACCAGCCGAGTAAGTTATTTTTCTTTTTAAGGCTTTTTAAAGGGGTTTTGGGAGAGGGAGTGGACTGTCTTGGATATTCGGACTCCAGGAGCCCAAAAATCCCAAGACAGCTGTGTGGATTTGGACCGGAAGTCACACAACGAGATCCCCAGGCCCAATCCATACAGTGCCCACAGCTGGAAAGACCCAGATCTTCGGAAAGACCCAGGTCTTTCCAGGTGCCAAATTGATTTGGGAAAAAGCAAGATTTTCCTGCTTTGTGCTGAATTATTTCATTTTTACCAGAGGCGATGTTTGGATGCCCCAGGGAAAAATGTGAGAGGGTGCGCATTTTCCACCCTGGTGTGGATGCACCCTCAAACTGCCTCTTTTTTACAGCACAAAACATACCTATTTCATAATTATTAAAAGTAGAAATCAGGTAGAGATGAGAAAATCAGTGAGAAAACTATCATAATTTGCTACTCACAGCAACCTATTCCTATTATTATTATTATTATTATTATTATTATTATTATTATTATTATTATTATTATTATTTGAAACACACCAAGATGAGTCCACAGCAAACAAAATTGCTCTGCTGGCTGTTGTATTGGATCACACGTCGGACACTTCCCAAGTGTCTATGACTGTGTGATGTATCGCCGAATAATGCGTGCAGATCCCAGTAGGGTGGCCTTTTTCAGCTGGCAGATGGTAATCTTGTCAGCGCCAATTGTGTTTAAGTGCAGGCCAAGGTCTTTAGGCACTGCACCCAGTGTGCCAATCACCACTTGACCACCTTTACTGGTTTGTGTCTTTGCAGTTCAATCTTTAAATCCTCAGATTGTGTCAGCTTTTCCAGTTGTTTCTCTTCAATCTTGCTGTCACCTGGGATTGCAACATCGACAATCCACATTCTGTTTTTTAACAAGATCGTGAGGTCAGAAGTATTGTCCTCCAAAACTCTGTCTATTATTATTATTATTATTATTATTATTATTATTATTATTATTATTTCTTTTATAGTTCTGTTTCATGGAACAGGTGAGGAGTCCAGATGCAGAGTTGAGCACAGAATGAAGGAAGACCATGTGAAGACCATCAAATCTGCCAAATACTCATCTATGTGTTCTAAACCTTGCAATTCCTTTATATTGAAGGATTGTTCCAAAAAGTTAAAAGAGTTTTGCAAAACTGCCAGACAATGGCCTTAGAGAAAGAACCAACATGGTAATGTGAAAATTGTTAATCATATAGCCTTGTGGCTTCTTTAATTAATTAGTAATTCTAAATTTAAGTCTGCAGAAACCTTAATGCTGTAATTCTGACTTAAACTGTTCACTTTGGTTTTAAAAAAGTATGTAATTAAGCTCTCCCTTTTTTGGCAAATTAATTCATAAATTAATTAATTATTTAGCACTCATCACTGCAGCTTTGTATTTGTGTATTCATCCGAACTAAATTGGATGCACTGAATGAGGGCGACGACAGAAATGGGATAGAGCACCTCAGAAACAGAGCTTGGGAAAAGTTATTAATTATAGCTCCCAGAATGGCCTAGACAGCATGGACATTAGCCATGCTGACTGGCTGGATTGTAGCAGTTGTAAGACCCAAATGTTAACGTTTCCAATCTCTGCCCAGCACAGATATGCAACGAACTGTTGGAGGAAGAATGGAGCTCTACATCTTTCCTCTGCCAAGCTCCAGCAGGCTAGTACACATTTCTGTTGCAGGCTAGTCACTTTTATGAGGCTGCATGCATTATAAAAATCATGCCAATTACTATAGTTCACACATAGAGGTTCCTCAGAGTTTCTGAACTTCTGCCTAATTACAGGAACGCACTTGGCTAATATACCACTTTCAAACTTCTTTGGGAATTGGATCCCAAAATACAGTTCATCCTTGAATCCAATGTTTTATTACATTGAAAGTACACACTGTATGATGCCATATTTCTTTTATTGTAAGACACACACTAATTTCAGTTTCACCAAAAGGGACAAAGCTCCCCCCCCCCACTCTCTCTATATAGAGAGAATCTGCAATTCTATGTTGATTTCAGAGACGCTTAAATGGGAAAAAAAGTCTGTCTTAGATCGAGAAAATACAGTAATAAGAATATATGTACAATGTGATGCTCCTGTCAAAGATACATCCAGAACAAGCCTTACTGAGCTCATAAAGAGTAAAAAGAGGGTCAGGGGAAGCTTCCCTAATAGGAAGTGCAATTCATCCACTGTGGGTTTTATTTGAGATTTTAAAAAAAATCATGTTGGAAACTACTTGAGATAACTACAAGTCGCTTCTGGTGTGAGAGAATTGGCCATCTGCAGAGACATTGCCCAGGGGATTACCATCCTGTCCCCACATGAGAAGCTGGAACTGACACACGGGAGGTCACCCCGTCTCGCAGATTCGAATTGCTGACCTTCAGGTCAGCAGTTCAGCCAGTGCAATGGTTTAACGCTTTGCACCACCATGAAGCTATGAAAAGGAGCTATCCAAGATGCTGAACCTATTTTAGAAGTTAGGGTTCAGCACCTTGGAAACATCCTTTGTAGTGGAGCTATGAAAAGGAGGTATCTAAGATGCTGAACCTATTTTGGAAGTTAGGTTCAGCACCTTGGAAAAGTTCTTTGTAGTGTTGAAAAATCAAGAATGTATTCTTCATACCACTGATGCCACAGACTGCTGTTTCAAGTAAATATCTGCTCAGCCTATTCCATGTGAAAATAATGCTCTAACGCAGTGGTTCTCAACCTTCCTAATGCTGTGACCCCTTAATGCAGTTCCTCATGTTGTGTTGACCCCCAACCACAACATTGTTTTTATTGCGACTTCATAAATGTAATTTTGCTAATGTTGTGATTATAATGTAAATATCTAATATGTAGGATGTATTTTCATTCACTGGACCAAATTTGGCACAAATACCCCATCTCGTTCCCGCCAAATGCACCTGTGATGGTGGTGGGACCGAGAGCTGGGCCTCCCCAGAAGATCTTAGTTTCCATAGTGGTTCGTAAAGGGAGATGCGTCCAGATAGGTAAACTAGGAGGACTAAAAACATTGGGGTTCTCCCCCCAACCTGGCACCCCCATTTTAATCCCCCCAAAACTCTTAAGTAGCAACACACAATTGCATCTACTTGACAAAGTCCTGCGTATACATCCATCTGTTACCCAAACCTGTTGTCTCACTTTTCCTAAAGGCAGGATTTGGTTCTGTTGCTGTCCTTGCTGTCCAATTTGTATTGTATTGTTTTGTTTATTGCTTTTCTGTTTTATTGGTGTGTTGTTGGGCTTGGCCTCATGTAAGCCACTCCAAGTCCCTTGGGGAGATGGTGGCGGGGTATAAATAAAGCTTTATTATTATTATTATTATTATTATTATTATTATTATTATTATTATTTAGATGTATTTGTAAAAGCAGCTATAAGAAAGATAGCTTGATGGTGTAGTCGTAGGCATATTTACTTGAAAATAAATCCTTGTGTGTTTAGAGCAGTTGTTCTCAACCTTCCTAATGCCACGACCCCTTAATGCAGTTCCTTATGTTGTGGTGACCCCCAACCATAAAATTATTTTCGTCGGTACTTCATAACTGTAATGTTGCTACTGTCATGAATCATCATGTAAATATCCGATATGCGGTATTTCCATTCACTGGACCAAATTTGGCACAAATACCCAATAGACCAAACTTTGAATACTGGTGGGATGGGGTGTGTGTGTGTGTTAATTTTGTCATTTGGGAGTTGTAGTTGCTGGGATTTATAGTTAACCTACAATCAAAGAGCATTCTGAACTCCACCAATGATGGAATGGAACCAAACTTGGCACACAGAACTCCTGTGAGCAACTGAAAATACTGGAAGAGTTTGGTGGATATTGAACTTAAGTTTTGTAGTTCACCTATATCCAGAGAGCACTGTGGACTCAAACAATGATGGATCTGTACCAAATTTGGCATAAATACTCACTATGCCCAAATGTGAACACTGGTGTAGTTTGAGAAAAATAGACATTGACATTTGGGAATTGTAGTTACTAGGATTTATAGTTCACCTACAATGAAAGAGCATTCCGAATTCCATCAATGATAGAATTGGGCCAAATTTTCCACACAGAACCCCCATGACAAACAGAAAATACTGTGTTTTCTGATGATCTTTGGCGACCCCTCTGACACCCCCTTATGACCCCCCCCCCCCCCCGGGTCCCGACCCCAGGTTGAGAAACACTGGTTTAGAGGGACCAACTATTCCTAGGGAAATGTATGTAGGATAATAGCCTAATTTCTAACTCTTTTGTCCTCAAACTGTGATGCTCTTTGTCATCTAAACAAAACCTTGCAGGACGAGCCCTTGGAACTTCCTATTGCTCAGAGAAGCCAGGATCACAGCATAATATTTACTGATGCCTTGTAGAGAAATGCTTACATTCTGAAGTCAACATGTTTCAAGATTATGTTGGAAGATCATGCCCCCAATTCCCATGGAAGTGGTTTTCTTGTTATTACTATAGCTTTGTGCGCATCCCCATTTCCCTGAGTGTGACAAAGAACCACCAGCAGCTCAAATGGGGTCAGGTTTGCCTCCCCCTCCCTGCTCACAATTTTGCAGCCCTCACCCTAATGTGAATAAGGTAGTT